AGGTGTCCTAGCTACCTTAGTCTATTATTTTATTGGACTGGACGATGTTGCATTTTTCATAGCATTAATACAACTCAAAATTGTAGCTCCTGTGCCATATCCCGCTTTTTTGTACTCCTTCGTATATGTGCCTAAGTATTCTTCTTTCAAAGCGGCCTAACTTTTCTTCGTCACTTTTTACCATAGTCCATGTCTCTGACGCATATGTCAGGACAGGTTTAATAAGAGTTTCATATATTAGTATCTTGGTTTTTCTGCCAATTATGGTTGCTGTTATTTAGTTATGTTCCAAAATATATAAACCCCGAAACCCTTTCGAATGTGTGTGCCTCTGTCACCAGATCTTGTGGTGCCGCTATTTGTGTACTGTTTGTGACCTTCATGTATTTTGTTTTGGATACGTTAACCTGCAGTCCCATTGTATTTGTGGCTGTACTCTTCTATTGATGATCGTACCTCTAGTTGTTATGCCGGATTTCTCTATGGCTCTTTATAGCCCGATGTTAAACAATAGGCATGATAGACTGTCTCTCTGGCGTAATCCAGTATGTGTTTCACAAAACCTTGACACTCTGTTTTGTACCTTGACTTCGCACTCAACTTTCGAAAGAGTTGCCTTTACCAATGTTATTAGATGCGACGAAATATCCAGTTCTGCCATGGCATTATAAAGTGCGTTTCTGTCTACACCGTCATCAGCGCTTTTAAAATTTATGAAGAGGTGGTGGATATCAATTCTATATTCATATGCTTTTTCTAAGGTTTATCTGAGAAGGAAAATCTGATCAATTGTTGACCATTCTTTTATAAAGTATATAAGCCAGTACTGTAATCCGTATTTAAGAGGGTAATGTCTCGATAGTTGTCACATATTAGTGGATTCCCTTTCTTGTGAATAGGTATTATAATACCTACATTCTACATGTCTGGGAGTTTTTCTTCTCTCCAAATGGATACAACAAGTTTTATTATGTATTTTTTAGCGTGTTTGCTCCACACTTGAACAGCTCAGGGGGTATACCATCTTCTCCAGGGAATTTGTTGTTTTTTAACCTTTTTATTGCCTTGGCAACTTCTTCTTCTCTTAGTATATTATTTTTCTTCCTATGATCGTCTACGTCTCCACTGTGGTCATTTCTGTCAGCCACTTCTTGGTTGCCTATATTGAATTTATCAGCAAAATTCTCCGCCCATCTCTCCACTATTTAATCCGGCTCGTTAATAATTTCAGCTTCCTTACTTTTATTATGGTTATTCTAGGTTTAAATTCTTCTCTGTTCTGTGGTTCACATTTTTATAAAAAATTTCTCTGATTTCCTTTGAGGTAGATCTTTCTGTAGTAGTAATCCTTTCTTGAGTTTTTCTTTTCGTGTGGATTTGATTTTCAGTTCAAATTTATCACATAACTTGCAGGTATATCGGAGGGGCGGTTTGAAGTGCAAATTAAATTTACTGTTGAAGACGTGGTAATAGTAGTTTAATTTCTTCGATTTCCTATTCTTCGTGGCACATTTTTCTTTATAGAGATCGTACATCTTTTTTACTGTAAGATTGCTGTTTACATATTTTCGATGAGGGTTTTTTAATCTCGAATAGTGACTCTGTCTGAGTCATCGAACTTGATACACCACGCCGTCCTTTACATTCAGATACTACAGCTTTAGATATGCATCTATATAGGCGTCCGTTACTTATTTTAAACGTAGCAAGGAAGTATTTCTTGCATACCTTCTGTGTTTTCGTATCATATTTCAATAAGTACTGAAATACTTGCTGTTTGTTAACACCACAGCCATCTTTTGGACGTCGTCGGTTTACAGCACTTGCTTTAACCACGCCATAGAGATGTAGATTATGTTCAACATAATTTCCAAGCTTCCAAAACTCCTCAAATATTGTTTTTCTCTCAGTTTCTGTACACACCAACACTTTTTGGTACAACCACAATCTGGGTTATCAAGCTGATTTTCGGGACTCTCATTCCATTTTTGTCAAAATACTCTTTCCGACTATTTCTATTTTTCTTTCTTGGTGTATTTTCCATTTTTCTTCTTTCCTTATTCGTTTTCTAGATGTGGCAGAAGTACCTTAATTTACGACTGCTTCTACAGCAGCTGGCTCATTTTCAATTACTAATGCTTCCCCCTGAACAGTTCCCGGAATGTCAGCTTGGGCACTCGTTGGTGTTGGTTGTAGTACTAGACCAGGAGTGATGGAAATTGGATTTGCAGTGGGTTCCATCAGCAGTTGTTCATTACTATGGATCTTATCACACTCTAAAATAATAACAATGTTTTAGTGCAATTAAAAAGAAAAATATCTTAAATAATCTTATTTAAACAATTGAGACCTAAACTACGCAATGATAAACTTAATTAGGTACTCTTAATTAAATAACTAAAATCTTAATTGCAATTTGATACTATTTTTTTCCTTAAAATATCATTACTTCTAGGTTATGTTAAGTTATGAGTACTCACCAGATTATTCATTATTCCTGTCTGAACTCAGAAGAAATTCTGATCCAGAATCACTATAATCTTCATTGTCGTCGGAATTCATAACGAAAACAATTTTTAATAAAAATACGTGCAAGTTCAAAAACACGTTAATTACTATTAAACTGGGAATAAGCCACAATTAAAGATAAAAATACGTTTATTGACGTTTCAATTTCCACTTCGGAAATCGTTCTCAAAATACAAACAGTAAATTAAACAAATTTTGTTTTTTGTTACATAGTGAAAAATTCTTCTAATAATTTAATTTTATCTGACTCATTTATATTGACAATTCAATAAAAAAAAATAAAAACAAAATTTCAAACCCACAGTATGGTGGAGGTATGTAGATGATATATTGTCAATATGGCCTCATGGATCAGAGTTGTTGGACACATTCCTAAATGATATAAACGATAAAGAAGAGACAATAACATTTACCATGGAAAAGGAATATAATAAGACGCTACCTTTCCTGGATGTTTTAATCTCTAAGAACGATACTGGATATGAGACTCAGGTGTATAGAAAACCAACACACACCAATAGATATTTAAATTTCAAATCAAATCACAATATTAATGTAAAAAAGGGAATAATTAAATCCTTATACGATAGAGCCAAAATTACTTGTTCTAATGAAAATTCGTTCTTGGAGGAGAAACATTTGTTAACATCTGTTTTATTAAAAAATGATTATCCTTTATCGTTTATAAATAAGGAATTTTCAACAATCGATCGAATAGAACAGAACAACTTAAAACGAGATCCTACAGCATACACAAGGAATAATATGAGGAAAATAACAATACCGTACATAAAAGGACTATCAGAAAAACTTAAAAGGATAGGAAATAAATTCAACATTTCAACAACATTCAAAACAACAAACACGTTGAGATCTATTTTGTCCAAAACCAAACCTAACAATGAACAAGAAAGGACAAAGAATTGCATTTATAAAATACCTTGTGAATGCGATCAGTTTTATTTAGGTGAATCATCAAGGCCATTAAATGTTAGAATAAGTGAACATCAATCTTATATTAAAAATAAAGAATTTGATAGATCTCAAATCTGTAAACACGCATGGGATAATGAACATAGGGTTCAATGGAGTAATTAAAATGTAGTCCTAAAAGAAACGGATGGTAAAAAAAGAAAAATCAAAGAAGCGGCTCTAATTATGCTAAATGAGGCCAATTGTGTCGCAAATTCCTCGGCAGAATGTAGTAGGATCTGGTTACCAATATTGAAAGATGAAGTTATTAATAAGAAAATACCAGTATTAGTAAGTCAGTAACATATAGAGGATACATCATTTATGTTTTTTAAATAACGTAACATATAAAATCAGAATTTTAATGTTTGTTGAAGGTAACCTAAATTCACGAACAAATACTTACAATGTCGGGATAGTATTATGAGGTTTTTCCCTGGTTTTCCCTCATAATTTACTATGGAATCACTAACAGGAGAATTTTACTGTCATCATGTCATGTGCTTGTCTTTTTAAAGACGAATTACATGCTATGATTTTTTTCTGACGGATATTCTCAAGTTAAAGTTGATTTCATGTAATCGAATGAACTATCTTATAAGTAAAGTCGTCCCAGGAGCGCAACTCAACAATATTGGCAATATCATTTTAAAGTCGTCTACTTTAAAATGCATAATGTATGTCTGAATTGTCAATATAAATGAGTCAGATAAAATTAAATTATTAGAAGAATTTTTCACTATGTAACAAAAAATAAAATTTGTTTAATTTACTGTTTGTATTTTGAGAACGATTTCCGAAGTGGAAATTGAAACGTCAATAAACGTATTTTTATCTTTAATTGTGGCTTATTCCCAGTTTAATAGTAATTAATTTACAATGCCACAAGAAAATAGCTTCAGAACAATTTCAAAAACACGTTCCCTAAAGTGGCGTGATAATTCAGAGTGATAATGGTCCAACTCCCGATTTGTACCGTTATTATACTGACACTTAAACTTAGACCACTTTTAAACTGAAATATTTTGATTTTGTATGACGGCTGCGATATAAGTGGTGCTATCTTTGCTTCAGTAGATATAGTTAGGAGTTGGGCCAGTTTTATTCTGAAAGATACTCATAAAGCAAAGATTTTTGTACACAAAACGCGAATTTTTGAAAATATGAAGTTGGAACATTATTATTTTGGTCGTCTCATATCGGAAGTTAAGAAGATGTATTGTAGTTGTGTTGTAGTTAAAAAAGATGTGTTTTTATTATTAAACGATTGTTAATCTACATAAACTTTAACTATTCTCATTATCCTCATTTTCTCATATTTAAGGAGAATAGGAGACTAAACAAAATGACGTGGATAGAAAATGTTCAATATTTCTAACTTTAATACGAATAATTGTTCACGAAATCATACATAAAACATTTAAAAGAAAAACGTTTTTTTGTTAAGAAAAAAGCTTTGAGTAATGTAGTTTCTATATAGTCATTCATATTTTTCTTAGGGGATTTTCCAAAGAGTTCGATCCATGTATAGAACAAATAGTGAATGCGACTTTGGAGATTTTCAAGCAAGCTCGACTGAACTTACTGCCAACACCCGCAAAATCACACTATCTTTTCAATTTGAGAGATTTCTCTAGAGTAATACAGGTAGGGTATGCTTTTTTTATTTTTTTTTGTGCGATAGGTTCTATTTTATTTATGAAAATATATCAGCGATGGCAGGTATTTTTTGTAAGATTTAGGTTTGGGGCATGGATTATTTTATCACTGCGTGAAATAACAAAGAAACACAAGTTTTCCTGATAAAAATCATTCAAGTGTTCAGTAGTCCCAATAGTTGTAGTTCCTGATAGTTCAGGGGGAATAATCCAAGAATCTAGCATGATTTTTAGTTAATATACATAATACATAGTATATCTATAAAATATTTACATGTTTACTGTAGATAATTCGGTGTTGTGTTTTTAGTTATTAACGATTCCCTTGGAAAATGCAACATTTTAAAATTTTGCATATTATTCAACATTAGTATTATTAATGAAACATTTTTTTATATAATTAAAATATTAATTATTTTTATTCCCTTTGCCTCCGTTGCTGATACGCCCATGGTCGTGTTCACAAATAAGTTGTTGAATGTTATTGGAAACTGCCGAAATATTGCAGAAGAATCGACCTGCTTGTTTAGAGACGCCGGTTTGGTTAATCCTTAGTTCATCTCTTTCCGTTTTAGCGTCTGTTTCTTTTGATGTATTTGTTGTATATCGTCGAAAGCACGTCTATAGCAATTTTTCTGTAAAGACCCAATCTAGAAGATTTTAATTTCATCACGTTCCTAGCTAGAAGGGTACTGTTGTGTTCGATGTCGTTGGGATCTTTTTACCTTCTTGGAAATGGATACTTTCCCATAATTTTTAGGTAGGAGATACCCTCATCTTTTTTTGGAGTAGTTTGGTAAATTTTTGCAGAAGGAGGACCACTTCTGAGTGGGCACTCGTTGAGTAAAGGCTTAATTCTGCGGGGACAGTCTTTGCGTAAGGACGTTCTCCATATCTTATCGTCTCTGTTCTCTGTGCGTTTTATTTCTGTGTGTATACACTTGTATATTTGAGTTTTTTTATCTAATATCATATTAGATTAAATATTGGTATAGAGTACCTTAAACATAGACCAAGATATGAGAAATATGAAAATACGTGCTTGGCGGAGGAAGGCGATGAATAGGGATGACTGGAAAAAAATTCTTGGGGTGGCTAGGACCCACACAGGGTTGTAAAGCCAAAATGATGATGATAGAGTACCTTTAATTTTAAATAGCTTCAGTGCTTGATACAAGTAAAGTATTATAGTAAAGTAAATTAACTCCAGTGTAGTTTAGCTACTTTACTATTACTGTAAGTTGTCATAATTATAGTATCTCCACTTATGTGGGCGAATAATATGGTATGGTATCATATTATCTTCAATAATCTGTATGTAGTACATGGATGAATCTAAGTTCATCCATGTCTACACCTATAGTTGAGAGTAACTACTGATTTTTGCATTCAATTTAAAGAACATTCAATAATTTCTTACGAACTTTCCATCAGCTACTAAGAAATTATAATAAATAATAATTATGAACATTTAATTATCAATCAATCAGTAAATAACAGTGCGAGATAGATGATTAACTACGACCAAGTGCGGGTTGGTTAAATTTTTATTTCTGTAACCTTTTTGTATTCTTGTAAATTTAGATTTGATTAATTTTTGTTAATTACTATAATTGTTATACATTTTTAACCCAGTATCTCGATATATGCCCATTAAACAGCAAAGAGAGACTTTCTTTAATCAACTTTAGTAGAATATTTTTATATAGCATTAGGCTCTCTTCGCTAATAATCGAACCTGTGCATTATTATATTGTTGTATTTGTAAAGGTACTTATTATTCATATTACTGTTCATTTTTATATGTATACCACCATTTAGTAATTGATGGTGCATTTTTTATTACTTTTGTGTACATTCAGCCGCCTATAGCATTGTGTTCTTGAATATATTGTTTTTGTTTTATGTATGAATTTTATTTGTCCACTCCTAACAAGTTTCTGATATAACAATACCTCTGAATATTTGCTTATTATATTAAATTATTATTATACCTTCGAGTAGAAGAAAGATCAGGCTGATTAAGTTTCGTAGGTAAGTGGGTGGACGCAGTCCACCTAATATATTTATTATTTGTTTATATCGTGTGTTGACCAAATTTATTTAATAATTAATTGTTGGTATCTTTCCTTGGATTTGGTCTCAGAACCAAAATATCTTTCCTTATCTCTTTTCTTGTTTAAGGTTTCTTAATTTTCTTCTTAAACCCCAAAAAATTGAGTGGCGCCCTGTTCTTATTTTATCTTTGGTAGTTTTACCCATCTATCTTTTTTCTGTATCTTTTTTAATATATCTTTACTTATTTCGTCCGTTGGACCCATTCCCGGTTCCAAAAGGTAGTTTCGAACCCACGACTCGCTCTCCACCAACCATCTGAAAAAGGATTCCGAGGTTACATTAATATTCAACAAGTATGTGTTGATGATTTTTAGTTCCTTCCAGGTAGATAGCCATCATCTATATATTTATTTTGTACCTATTTTTAGGGTGTTCTCTTATCAGTACCAGAAGCCATGGAGGATCTATTAGCTATAAAACGCTTATGGGTGCACGAGGTTCTAAGAGTGTATTACGACAGACTTGTGGATAATGGTGATAGAGCATGGATTTTTCAAGCTCTAAGAAAAGTCTGTACGTCTTACCTGGAAGAAGATTTGGACGATTTGTTCATCAGACTAAAAAGACCTAACGTTCCGGTAAACATGTATATATTAAAATTATTTATTTGTTTTAGGTAATGACAATTTTAAACCCCACTTATAATGCCGTAAACTGTTTTGAAATCGCTTTCTGCTGTCTTGTGGCATGCTGGCTATATTTTACATCTTTGTATTTTTCTTTACATCAACATTTATGGCAATACCCAAGAAGATTAATAGCTTAATTTGTAGAACTAGAACTTACTAAAAAGCGTTTGACACTGTTCAACATAAGAAGTCAATTCCTATTTTATAAATAGTTGTGATATTATATATAGTTGTGACCCAATTATACTTAGTCAATGTATTTGAATCGTATGGTCCTACAAGAATTACTAAAACAAGTCAACCATAATTAATTATATTGTCCCAACTTTCTCACCCCTTCTCTACTACAAAATAATCTTTACACTGCCGCTGTTTTTTGTGATTATGCCAAAGCTTCTGATTGTGTAAACAAATTCGACGTATTTCTTTGAATTGGTTCCAATCTTGAGGAATAGGAAACAACTAGTTAGAACAGATGATACTGACTCTAGTCACAGAAGCATTGTATGTGGACTACCACAATGTTCAGTATTGGGTCCTCTACTTTCCTTTATCTTTATAAATGACATCACTAACTTAAAAATCGGAACAGTTTTTCTTTTTGCTGAGGAGACCAACATTACCTGGAACAATTCTCAAATAAAGCATATTTCTATTTCTTCTATTCTATTCTATTCTATTCTATTCTATTCTATTCTATTCTATTCTATTCTATTCTATTCTATTCTATTCTATTCTATTCTATTCTATTCTATTCTATTCTATTCTATTCTATTCTATTCTATTCTATTCTATTCTATTCTATTCTATTCTATTCTATTCTATTCTATTCTATTCTATTCTATTCTATTCTATTCTATTCTATTCTATTCTATTCTATTCTATTCTATTCTATTCTATTCTATTCTATTCTATTCTATTCTATTCTATTCTATTCTATTCTATTCTATTCTATTCTATTCTATTTTATTCTATTATATTCTATTATATTCTATTCTATTCTATTCTATTCTATTCTATTCTATTCTATTCTATTCTATTCTATTCTATTCTATTCTATTCCATTCTATTCTATTCTATTCTATTCTATTCTATTCTATTCTATTCTATTCTATTCTATTCTATTCTATTCTTTTCTATTCTATTCTATTCTATTCTATTCTAGTCTATTCTATTCTATTCTATTCTATTCTATTCTATTCTATTCTATTCTATTCTATTCTATTCTATTCTATTCTATTCTATTCTATTCTATTCTATTCTATTCTATTCTATTCTAATAATACAAGTATGGATGGACCGGACATTTGTACTTAAATAAAACAACTGACATTTGAATTAAAGGTCAAATATCTGAAGACATTCCTATTACGAGAGGAGTTCGAAAAGACTGCGTGGTCTCCCTGTTTATATTTAATTTATATGCAGCAAATATTTTCGGACAAATTGTGGAAGACAAAACAGAGGATATACGACAAAACGGAGTAGTCACCAACAATGGGGATAGACCGATGACACAGTTTTGCTAGCAACGAATTCAGATGATTTAGAGACACTTTTATAAGCTATAACAGACCACGGTCAATCAATTGCCTTGAAAGGAAATACAAAGAAAATTAAATGGACAGTCATCAGCAACAGTGAGAAACAGTCACAATTATACAAATATTTCGACTGTTGTGTCAATGAAAAATGGGAAAACTCAGAAAATCAAACGTAGAAAACGTAGCAAAATATTGTGTCGTTTTTCTATGGGTTGGGCGATTCTATGGTCCGCCCCTTCGTCTGATAGGATGCCATGTAAGAGATCGATGGGAAGCTCCATCCCTCGACCTGTCAATAACAATGCTGAAGTGTAACAAGTTACTTTATGTTGGGAGCTTCGGTAGGCTAGCAGAAACAGACGCACCAGTTTGTCCCAATCTCTTTGATTTTAATGTACAATCAGGGACAAATAGTTGTTGATGGTGCGGTTTTGTTTTTATGTTGATGGAAAACCATCGTAGTCTTCCAAACATCCGATTCGAAGTTGCATTCCTGATCAGAATGAAGCAGAAGCATTGTCGAGAAACGATATTCTAAAGCAGAGCCTCACCAAATGTAATTGCTTCTTGGTTGGGTAGTGCAACTACTTCTGGCCATTTGAAAAAATAGTCCATAGCAACCAAAAAATACTTGTTTCCTGATGCTGTTACTGGAAATGGTCCCAGAATGTCAACAGCAACTCGTTTTTGTTGAGTCTTGGTGATGTATTGTTGGGGTTTTCCTCCAAGTCTCGTTTTGGGCCCCTCTTTGGATGCACACTGATCACATCGTTTGCACCATTCTTCCACATATTGCCGACAATTAAACCTAATAATATCATATCACGGACTCTAGCCAAAATCCTATTAATCCCAAAATGCCTATTGTAGTGGCTCACATGGAGTTCTGCAAGCACGTCCTTAAAACATGACCTTGGAAGAACAACTTGGGGCACTGCTTTCCCTTTCATATCTTCTTTTCTCAATTTTGGAGCTTTTATTTTTGATAAAAGACTAATGAGAAACTCTGTCTGTTTAACGACGTTGCTCTTGAGCTTTTTTTCTGCCTAACGACGTATCGCTTAAGGTTCTTTTCTTCCATACGATATTGTTCCATTACGGCAATCATATACCGAATTTACTCCATCTTGGTCTTGTATTTTGATTTTACCATAAACAATTTTTAAAAGTAGCGTATTTAACTTCTTTGACTTAATCCCACTTTTTTCTGGCACCAATTGTTGCGTTTTTCTATGGGTTTATGGATTAAATGAAGTACACGTAGATTGACTAACTTTATTCAACTTACTCACCATAAAAAACTAACTACTAGTAACTAAGTAACTAATATTCCATTAAAAATTATAAATCCACCAATAATTTTCGCCTACAATAATATGGGTATCGCTTACAAATACACTTGTCTGATTACTGTCTATATATAGGAACGCTGCAGCTGTTTTTATACACGAACAGATGTTCTAGAGATCGCCAGCAAAGGCACGAATGCCGAGTCAGCGCTCTTAATACAAAATTACAGAAAAATAATTGCGAACAAAGCATTAATAGAACGCCAGGTAGAATTTTCGAAATAGTTACAGGACCATTATTACAGTTAAATAACAATTTATTACATAACAATGCGTTTAATTCCCTAAAAGAATAAAGATCATGTTACTGTTTGAAGAACAAGGCACTTGAAAAAGAGGAATTTAACCTTGAAACCTATTTTCTGTATCACTTTTAACCGTAAACGTATAAGTCTATGCTTTTAAATAATGATTGAATGTGGTTTATGTTTTCTTTACCTATTTATTAATAACGAGCCTGTTTATGCCATTATTATATAGCTAAAATATACAATTATTTGTAAATTTTTATGCCGCACTGGTGCGCTTCTCGCCTAATTGATCAAATTTTTTATCATATCTGCGCACAATGTAGAGAAAGTCTTTTCTAACTTTATATTTTTTCGTTGAATTCGTTTACTATGATAATTTATTTACTCTTTTCTGATTATTATTCTACACGTGACGCATTTGTGCGTCAATTAAATCGTACGACGCATAATTGCGTCATGGTTATTTAATGAGCTAGTTACGTAAAACGCTACAGTAACTACTGTTTTTAAGGTTGGTGAAGTGGAGCTACGTAATCTCTTGTACTGTGATTTCGCAAATCCAAAAGCAGATCAAAGACATTACATGGAAGTTTTAGATCTAGAACAACTGACCTCTATAGTGGAAGGATATTTGGCTGAATTTAATAATATGACAAAAAAGCCTATGAATCTGGTGTTGTTCAGGTACTTTAGTATTAATTTTACAGTTTAATGCATAAATCTTAACGATTTTTGTTATATTTCTTTATCACAATTATTCAATATGTTGAGTTTTAAAAATATGCCTAAAAAGTAAATCTTTGCCAAGAAATTGGTCTTCAAAGATAGTAATAAAAAAGTTAATTAAAAGTAGTACGAGCCCCTTCCCATATCAGTTGGCCTATGGAATTTGCAGTTTAAATCGATTAATATAAACGAATTATACCCTGGATGTTCTTATAAGTTCCCATATTAACTAATATGGCATTTTATTAATATTTATTAAAACATTACCCTTATATTTTTTTCATTGTATTCAATTGCATTCATTTATGTCAACATACGTTGATTTTTTCATAATTACGTTAAATTCAGAGGTAGCTATGGAAAAACGACATCAAAACAATAATATTGTCAGTTAATGCCAAATGTATTTTGTTGTATTGTAAAACAGTTAGTTAAAAGTCACTTTGTCAAGAATCACATGTTTGTTGTTCAGGATAAATCTTTTTGTTTGGGTCCAGCCACTTTTAAGAAATTAGTAAGCGATCTAGAACTTACAGGAAGTGTGATACAAACGCATATTAATTCACCTCGAACTACAGTGTACTTGGTCACTTTATTAGCGCAAAATGAAAAGATTAAAAAAACTTCTAGAAATTAGTGCAGGCAAAAGGAAAGATGAGTATGAATCTTATTTTAACAAATTAGGAATGTCAAATATTAGGTTATTTTCTGATAGACTGATTGATACACCCGCTGATCCCAATTATATGGAAGAAGTAGTTGCTGTTTTCGCTACACCACCAAATAGTTACTCTGCTGTTTTAGATCCGATAGATTTGGTGTGTAGCCGAGGTGGAGACCTTTCCATGCTAGAGATATTAACTGAAACAGGAGATAGTAAGGAAGCTAAAGAGAGAGTATCAAGTATTCTCGAAGAACAGCAAAAAACTTTACGATTTGCTATGTCAAGACCGCAAATACAATTTGTCCTGTATGAAACTCATTCCGACTTGGAGAAAATACGCAAATGGTCGACAAAACTTTAACAGAAATTAACAAGATAGCAAAAATGCAACATGCTCTGCTACAAAGTCAACAAACCAAAAACGTTTCGCCTCCTTCAGATGACAAAGAGATGAATGATATGGGAAGGGAATCGTAGATTTCCCATTTCACTTTTAAATATTTTAAATATCAAATACTGTGAAAATCTATTTTGATACGACTGAACTATTTATTGTTCATATAGCAGCCCTGATCATATATGGAGGATTTCTGCGACTGATTTTAAAGAAATATCTACGGTCTTAGATGTTCATATCACTACCACAATTAGTTGATTTATTTCGTTTCAGATTCGCTATTGAGCACTTGTCCAAAATATGTAGGATCCTGAAGTCGCCTAGAAGCCACGGATTATGCGTGGGTGTAGGAGGATCAGGACGACAATCGTTGACGCGCTTAGCGGCTCATATTGCTGAGTACGATTTGTTCCAAGTTGAAATTACCAGGCAGTATGGCATCAACGAATGGCGGGAGGATGTTAAGGGTATTCTTAGAAGAACTAGTGCGACAGATCTACACGGTAAGTATCACTAGGGTTTTGTAATTTTATACAATCTACATCTATCAACCAAATAGGAAAAAAGAGCTTCTCGTTCAATCTAAATAGCCAGCTAAAAGTACGAGAACATTTATACAATATCACTGAAACGTCACTGTTACTTCTAAGAATTTACTGCCTAATTTTTTTTTTTTTTTATTAGAAAAAGATGTCGCATCCACCAAAAGGTTATTAGCGACGGAACAAAATATAAAAAACAAAGTTAAACACCTACAGATTGTACAAAATGTTTATGGATCTAAGATTATTCACTATATTGTTACAGGAACAGTTTTGACCTAGAGCCTTTAGTAGAACGTTTGGGATCCTGTAGCGCTGTCTTTCTTGGTCATATTTACTACAAATTGTTAAAAAATGTTCGACTGTTAATCGGACGTTACACTGATCACATATAGGTGGATTTTTCTTTGTAAAAAGGTAGGAGTACGTTAATCTGGTATGTCCTAGGCGTAAACGCTCAACCGCAATTTGTTCTCGTCTATTAAGCGACGATGGAAACCACTGAGACACATTATTTTTGATTTTATTTAGATTGGAATTAGTTTGAGACCACTCATTTTGCCACAAACACCAAACTTTATTTTTAAAATAAGCTTCTAATTCACTAAAAACACACTTGTCTATCGGCTGTGACAAATCACTTAAAATTGCCTCTCGTGCAGTCCTGTCAGCTTCTTCATTTCTTGTTATTCCGACGTTTGAGGGAACCCATAAAAATTGGACGCTTCTTCCATGTTCATAAGAAATAATAATATCTAGAGAATATTTAGATAAAAGAAGCTGTAGCATAGGGAGACGATGAAAAAATCCATCAATGTTCCATTGAAGTATCGAGTTGAATGTTGTTAACAGATTCGGAGTTAGATGATACTGAACAATTGTCTACAGAAGAGTCACTATCTAAGTCAGAAATCTCTTTCTCTAAATGGTTGTATAGTTTCTTTTGAAGTTTCGTAAACTTGCTTTTTGTAGATCTATCATTTGCATATTGATAGCTGCTTTGTAAAAGATGGAGTAAACCACAGATATCAGTTGTAAATTCTTTGACGACGCTAATAGTGTCGGAGGAGCCTTGGACATTATCAATCAGTAAGGACAATTGGTGGTAATTTAAAACGAATGGTGGGGTATAATTATCAATGAAATTTTCAAGAGTTTCCCGTGTAGATGGGACTTTATATGAGCGCGGTTTTTTTGGTTTAGAGGGTTTGGGTTTTGCAAACAGATTTTCTGATGAAATTACTGAGTCTGAAGGAGGCGTGACGATCTCACCAATACTGCGTTTTATGGAAGAACTTGTGTTTTCGGAATTGTTATTAGAGTTTTCATTTAGATGCTGTGGCTTTATTACATTTGGAAGTACTGGAGCAAACTCCTTGGTAGTGACAGAACTCGAGCTTGAAATTTTATTTGTAAGATTGGTTGAAATGGTTGTTTCAGAAAATTGTCTTGTTGTATCAGTTTTATTAGAATTTTCTGCAGTTGTATCTAATGAAAAAAGAAGCTGATAGATTGGAGGATATTGCTTCTGAAGTTTGTGAAAACGGTATTGCTACTGAATGAGGTTGATTGAAAGTGTTGTTATGAGTAGGAGCGTTAGTAATTTCTTTGTCATGGAGATTTGTAGGTGTAGGTGATATGCTTGGATTTGATGATGGATAACTTGATGACTGCTGGGTGTTTGGTACCTTGTGTAGTATACTTGTTGAAACTGTTTGATTTGGTACTTCATTGTTTGACTCAATATGAGTTGATTGAGTTACCGAACTGTTTTTGCATTGGGATGATATGTGCCCTGTATTTTTGCAAATAAAGCAGGTAAGTGTACCTTGTGACAAAAATATGCGGTAAGGTGTTTGGTCGAAATTTATTAGAATAGAATCTGGAATTGGTGATGTTATAGGGCTTATATAAACTTGCCTCCGAAAGCTCAATATGTGACTATATTCGGGAACAGTCGAGCTAATTTTCAGAAATGTTATTGGAGAAATAAGCTTTAAACCGATATTCTCTAATTCTTCAACTAATACTTGATGAGGAATTGACGGGCAGACTCCAGACAAGACTAGTCTTTCTGCTGGAGAGACAAGTCTTCTTGCTGTTACTACTTCGCCGAGTACTTCTATAGAGCCATATTGTGTCATGAAGTTATCTACTACGGTCTTGTTTGCCAAATACATGCAGATTCTATTATGAGATAATCTAGATGAAAAAATAATATTTTTTGGGTTGATGATTGTGCCCAAAGGAATGAGATAATCCTGCAGTTTAGCATTATCGATACAACTAAATACAATTGCTTGGTTCTTACTCGGAAAAGAATGTGAAGCGGCTGAAGCATAACTGTTTGTGATATTCGAACGTTGATTTACTGGACTGGTTAGATCGGAAGGTGTGTTTACATTGTGTGAAGTCATTTTGAGGTGCGGTGGCGAAGGCCTTACTCCGACTCTGGTAAGTGAAAAACCAGTCGCATGCTACTATAAGCTACTTATAGCAGCTAACCTCACAAAATAATTGTATGGTAGTTTATATTTATTATTTGACTTTTTCTTTTCACAATAATAAAATAATAATTACGTATAGATGACTTGCGTAGTAGTATCTAGTAGATAAACACTTTAATTTTAAAAAACTGTTTAATAAAACCACTTATTTTTATTAAAAACTAGGAGTACGATATCAATACAACTTAACCGTACCTTGCCAGGGCCGGTCCTACCCCTAAAATTTTGATTCTCAATTATTAGAGAAACGAGTAGATTTTTGATGTCAGAATAATTAACATATTAACAATAACACTGAAATCTCATCTCCAATTTAAAAAAGTACAAAATCAAAAGTAGTCATTAATTTAAATAATGCTTTGCCATTTTTCTTACCTCAAATAATGGTCAAAATATAACAAAAAATACCGGCGCCCGTTTGTAATGCGATACCATCATTGAAGTGATCATAAAAACAGTGTAAACAAGTCGTTAATTAGGTGTTAACTGCCCATAAAATATTTTATTTCTTTCTTAACGAGTGACATTGATTGATTTATTGTTTTCAAACGAAAACGGCTGCCGAAATATTCACACTTTTTTATCTAAATAGTAAGTGTCAACATATAAAAAGATATATAAAAAAATGCCGGATTCTCTTTTAATTTATGGGTGTGATGGCCGGATCGTAAATATAAATTTATTATTCTTCAATAATCCAGTCAAATTAGGAAAATAATTTTACTTTAATAATTAATTGACACTTTTGAAAGAGTAAAGAGGTGTCTTTACTTTATTTCATGTTAAGAAAATTAGTAACATTGCGCTAATGGAGATCAGTGTTGCTAAAACTCTCAGTTTCATTGTAATCAGAGCCGTATTCAGTAGTATGCCGTATGTAGTAGTTAATTAATTTCAATAATAAAAGTATATGTATAGTTGAATACAAATTAATGCGTTATAAATACTTGTTTCTTTAATTGACAGATATAAGTATTTAATTATTTTTATTTTTACGCAGAACAGACCGTTAAGGCCTAGGGCATTGTTTTACACATAATCCTAATATTAACAAATTAAAATTATTTTAAACAAAACTTTGACTTAAATATGTATAAACAACATTCTTAACTACTCTGAAGGACCTGGTGGACAATATTTCTCCATTCGCTTCTATATTGTGCTTTTCTTTTCCAGTCCCTCACGTTCACGTGTTTAAGGTCTTCCTCCACTTTACTAATCCACCTCATTCTGGGTCTACCTATTCTTTTGGGGCCGATTAGTTTTCTGGTTATTACTAGTTTGGGCATTCTGTTTGCTGCCATTCTTTCCACATGTCCCAACCATCTGATTCTTTGTGACTTGACGAACTTGGTAATGGTATGTTCTTTGTATAAAGCTATTAATTCATTGTTGGTTCTTCTCTCCCAACCATCTTCTGTCTTCCGTCCTCCGAATATGCGTCTCAATATTTTCCTTTCCCATATTTCCAGAGTATCCTCTTCCTTCTTATTTAATATCCATGTCTCACCGGCATATGTTGCTGTGGGTTGAATTGCTGTTTTATATATTCTGAGTTAACCTTGTCTAGAATCGTATTTTGAGTTCAGTAGGGCTCTTAAACTACCTAATTTTTGATTCCCTTTTGCTATTCTGGCTTCGAGCTCCCATTTCTCCTTTCCATTTTCATCGAAAACTACACGCAAGTATTCAAATTTGTCCACCCTTTTAAAACTATAGCGTTTACCACTTACAGACCTCACACTAAAGTCTTCTTTTTTCCCTTCTGCCCCTCTCATGATCATATACATATTTGGTTTTGTCTTCATTTAGTTCCAATCCGAATTTCTGTGCTTCTTCGATGATTTTCTTCACAACTCATCTTAATTCTTTCTCGGTTTTTGCTAGGATCGTTAAATCGTCAGCAAATGCCAAGCACTGGTGCTCATTTTTCATAATTGTTTCTTCCACCTTCATATTGCATTTTCTGATTACAGTTTCTAACACTAAGTTGAATAATGTAGTGGATAAAGGATCTCCCTGTCTCAAGCGTTTTGCAACCGTAAATTGATCTAATATGTGACCCTGCCAAGCAATTTCACACTTATAGTTATTTAATGTCATTTTTACTAGTCAGATCAGTTTCTTTGGTATACCCAAATGTTTCATTCCTCGATACATTTTGACTCTATCGACTCTATCATATGCTTGTCTAAAATCCACAAACAAAACATGCAGGGGAACTTTACCTTCATAAGAAGTCTTTTGTATCTCCTTTAATGAGAAGATTTGGTCTAGAGTAGATTTGTCCTTTCTGGCCTGATATTCATGTAGGATTCTTTCCGTGTAGCAATTAAGTTTATTTCTCAATATTCTTGCCAGGATTTAGTAGCTGATATATATTTTTTTTTGTAGTTGTTCTCCACTTGATAATTTCTATGCATATGTCATTTTTATCAGGACTTCTCTTATTTTTCATTTCTTGTATTGATGTCACCACCTTCTCCTCTGTAGGCTGCCTTTCAACTATCGCATCTTCTCCAACCGTCCAGTTGTCTACTGCTTCGTGGTCCACCTCACCATTTTTATAATTATTCAAAATGTTTTTTCCATTCCGTCATTATTTCTGCCGGATCGCTAATTAAATTTCCGTCCTTACCTTTCAGATAACTACAGTGGCTTTGGTAACCTTTTCCATCTTTTTAACTTCTTGATAGAACGACCTCACCTCTTTGTTTTTAAACTTCTCTTCTCTCACTTTCAATTTCAACTCATTGTGGTATCTCTTTTTTCTTCTACACAGAGCTTTCAATCTCCTTCGAATTATTCTATATTCTTGTTTTTTACATTCTCTATTATCTGTTAATATAATAATTTAATTATTGTAGGTCTAAAAAAAATAGTTAAATTTTACTATTGTTTAACATTACACATTTATTAACGCTTTAGATAAGATGCAACTAAAAAAAAACAAGTGTAGCTTTAATTTGATTTTCATGTGAGTAAAACAACAACTACATACATAAAATGTTTTTTATAAATTTCCTGTTACAGCTTTGCTCGATTAGAAATTATCTGAATACAAATCACAAAAAAATAAAACATACATTGCCTCTTGCACACACAGAGTCGAATTTGCTTAAAAAACATAAATAAATATACGAATTCTGTACGGATCTAAAATTGATCGTATTTTTCAGGTGTTTTCTTATTTTCTGACACACAAATCAAAGAAGAAGCCTTTCTGGAAGACGTCAGCAACTTAATGAACTCTGGCGAAGTACCCAACGTCTTTACATCCGAAGAAAAAGTGGAACTGTGCGAAAAAATGCGGCAGCTCGACAGGCAGCGCGACAAGTCTATGCAGACGGATGGAAGCCCGCCCGCACTGTTCAACTTCTTTGTTCAAATTGTGAGGGAACAGCTTCATTTGATACTTACGATGAGTCCGATTGGGGAAAGTTTTAGGACTAGGGTTAGGAAGTTTCCGGCGTTAGTGAATTGCTGCACCATCGATTGGTTTCAGGTGTGTTAGATGTTTATTGTGTTTAGTTATGTTGCTTTTAATTCATTTTCTCTTATTTTCTTTAAATCATCTGTTATTTTCTCTTATTCGACCTTTCTGTGCGACCTCTTTATTCTTCTCAGATAACATACGAATCTGTTTTTAAAAGTCATTCACAAAAGAATTTACCGGAAATGCGAGGAACAAATTGCGTCAAATCAGTTTGGATTTGTGAACGCCGTTGGTACGAGGGAAGCTTTATTTAGCTTTCAGGTATTGTTTCACAAATGTAGAGATGTTAGCTGTGATGTTTTTGTATTCCTGATTGACTACAGGAAGGCTTTCGATAGAATCAGGTATGAACAAATTATGAAAGTGCTGACGAGGGCAGGGATTGATGGAAGAGACCTAAAAATAATAGCTAACCTGTATTGGAATCAATCAGCAGTGCTCCGAATAGATGGAGAATATACAGATCAGGTCAAAATCTTAAGGGAAGTGAAACAGGGGTGCATGTGCATAATTTCACCACTGTTATTCAATCTGTACTCAGAGTACATTTTGAAGAGACTCTAAAAGATATTGATGAAGGCATCTCAATAAATAGAGTCAAGCTCAATAACCTGGGGTATGCAGATGATACAATATTGTTTTTTAATACCATAGAAGGCCTGCAAAACTTAATAAAAAAAAATAACGGAAAAAAGTAGAATATATGGACTGAATATTAATACTATAGCAAAACTAAGTTATTGATGATAATCAGCAAGGAAAATATAACGAATAGATTAAATGTTGCATCGGAAAGGCAAAGAGACCATTCTTTACTATGAACTCTGTGTTCAAGAGCGATGACCTCATCCAAGAAACAGAAATAAGGCACCTTAAATGTTACGTGTACTCAATGCTTTCGTACATAGTAGAAATGTGGACATTGAAGGAGGAAACTCTATCAAACCTTCGGGCTTTTGAGCTATGGTTTTACAGAAGGATTCTTGGGACATAATGAGAAATCAAGGGAGATATGAGGTACTCCAATGCATTTTGTAAGGTAAAATTGAAGGAAAAAGGCCCAAGGACGAAAAAGAATATCCTGGCTTGCTAATCTGAGAGCATGGTACCTATAGAAAGATCTCAACACAGCTATTCCGTATAGCATTCATACACTGATCTCTAAGAAGGAACAGCAAATTGAAAGAATCAGTGTGCATGATCAACCAATAGAAAGAGTAAAAACATGTACCTACCTTGGTACGAACGTCAATGAAAATTGGGACCATTCCCTAGAAATAAAATGTAGGATAGAGAAAGCAAGACCTGCATTTTAAAAAATGGCTAAGTTCTTCAAATACCACGATTTATCAGATTACTACTATGTTATATCTATCCCATACTATTGTACGAAGTTAAGTCGTGGACTCTCATAGACGCTAGTTGTAAGAAAAGTGAGGCTTTCGAACTGTGGCTTTATTGTAGAATCCTGAGGATATCCTACACTAACCACGTTACTAACCATGACGTTTTATTAAGAGTGCAAAAAGGAAAAGAGTTGTTAACCACAATAAAAATTGATTATCTCGGTCACATCATGCGGAACAGCGAAAGGTAACCTATAAGCTTAAGAAGTAATTAATTCTTCAAGGAAAAGTAGAAGGAAAACAAGGACCAAAAAGGCAAATAATTTCCAGGCTGAAAAATTTGCGTGAAGTGGTTCAACACAACAACCACAAATCTTTTTAGAGCCACAGTTTGCAAAATACTTTTTCTTCTTAAGGTGCCGTGCATTTCTGCGTAGGCGTCCACCGTACATCGTCTTGTCAGGTGAGCTGTTAAATATTCTGGTTTAAATAATTCTGTTTTTAGCAGCATTGCGAAGCATTTCATAGCTGTGGATTCCTGTCCATTGTCGAATATTGCGCAGCCATGACATTTTTTTACGTCCGAGACCTCTCCTACCCTCTATTTTCCCTTCGAGTATCAGTTGCTGAAAAGTGTATCGTTCTCCTCGTATAATGTGCCCCAAGTATGCAGTCTTCTTACTTTTCACATAATTAAAAAGTTCCCTATCCTGTAAGCCCGCTCTTCTGAGTACTTCCTCATTTCTGACCCTGTCCGTCCATGATATTCTGAGCATTCGACGCAGGCACCACATTTCAAACACTTCAAGTTTGTTAATGGAACTGGCCTTTAACGTCCATGCTTCCATTCCGTACAGGAGAACAGGCCACACGTAACACTTAAGCATCTTGTATCGGAGGTTGAAGTCCAATTTGCGATCAGTCAGAAACTTACGAAGCCTCAAAAAAGCATTTCTGGCTTGTTCAACTCTGCTCTTTATTTCATTCTCGGGGTCCCAACCCTCATTCAGCAAACATCCCAAGTATTTGAATTGCCTGACTTGTTCGATTTCTTCTCCAGAGACATATATCTTTGCGTTGGGGTAATCATTTCTACTTATAATCATTGATTTTGTCTTCTTGATATTTATTTTCAAACCCCGAGCTTCACTTGCAAGAGTTAGATCATTTAAAAGGCATTGAAGATCTTCGATGTTATCTGCCACTATGGCTGTATCATCGGCATATCTGATGTTATTAATAAATATGCCGTTAACTTTAATACCCTTATCAGAGTCTTCCACTGCTTCTGCGAAGGCTTTTTCTACGTATAAATTGAACAGCATTGGGGACAGTATACAACCTTGCCTTACTCCTTTTTTAATGGAGAAATCTTCTGTTTCGTTGAAATTTTGAAGACGTACTGTTGCTGTCTGATTCCAATACAGATTGGCGATGATTCTTATATCCTTTGCATCCAATCCCAATTCTTGTAGGTATTTTATCATCAATTCATGTTTTACATTATCGAATGCTTTCTCGTAATCGATGAAACAGATAAAAACATCCTTTCTTTGATCTAAACAATTCTGTATCAATGTTTGCATACTAAAGATCGCTTCTCTCGTGCCAAGTCCATTTTTGAAACCAAACTGACTCCATCCACTGACCTCTTCACATTTCTTAAACAATCTAGTGTGAAGTATTCTCAGGAAAAGTTTTAAAAAGTGACTCATTAGGCTTATTAGTCGGTGGTCCTTGCAGAAGTTCGCACGTGGTGTTTTTGGTAGGGCAATAAATGTAGATCGAAGCCAATCTTTTGGAATCTGGCCCGTATCGTAGATGTCGTTAAAGAGCTTGACAATAATGTCTAGGTTTTCTTCATTAAGTAACTTGATTGTTTCTGCGTACATATCATCTGGTCCTGGGATTTTGTTACTTTTTAATAGTTTGATAGCGTGTACAATTTCAGCTTTCAAAATACTTGGGCCATACAAATGGTCTCCCAGTTGTGGTGGTTTTTGTGTTCTGTCATCATTGAACAAATTGGCTGTGTACATTTTCCAAGTATTAAGTATATCGCTAGGGTCCGTTATTAATTCATTTTGGTCATTATGTATACCAATGACTTGTTTTTTCTTGAAGACACCAGCAATTTCCTTAATTTTCTTGTGAAGATTGAAGCTATCGCCGAGTTTATATAGGCTTTCAGCCTCGGCGCAAAGTGTAGTCATCCAGATCTCCTTCGCCGCTATAATTTCTTTACGAATTTGACTGTGTATATTTCGGTACCCTACTTCGTCCTGCCTGATCTTAAACTGCCTGCGTTGTTCCATCATCTCTAATATTTCTTCTGTCATCCACTCATTCTTGGTAGTTGTTTTACTCTCGAGTAGAAAAGTGTTGTTCAACTCATCAAATGATTCTTTTATGGTGGTCCATGACTTTTCAACATCATTCTCAGTTGCCATATTAGAGAACCTATTGTTTATTTCTTATGTGTACGCTTTATTTGTTTCATTGTTTTTTAGTTTTCTAATGTTTACTGATGCCTTCTGGTGTTTTCTTTTAGCTGTAGCGAGCCTCAGTTTGATATTTGCTACTAAGGGATTGTGGTCGGATCCTATGTCTGCTCCAGGTAATGCAGATACCTTAGTAATAGCATTCCTGTACCTTCTATTAATTGTCACATAATCTATTTGGTTCCTTATAATGCCCTGATGTCCGTCTAAAGGCGACTTCCATGTGTAAAGCCTCCTGGGTGGTAACTTATACCAGGTATTCGTTATGACTAGATCTTTGTCTTGACAGTACTGTATCAATCTGTCCCCTCTGTCGTTTCTCTGACCAAGACCATATTTTCCAACTACGTGATCTACAGCTCCTTCCCCAACTTTTGCGTTGAAGTCTCCTAATACGATGTTAATTTCGTGATTCTTAGTCACCTTTAAGGCTTCGTCTAGCTGTTGATAAAATCGCTCTAGTTCTTCTTCTGGCTTGTCTGCTGTAGGGGCGTAGACTTGTATAATATTTATGTTAACTTTTCCATGCAACTGAATAAGTATGACTCTTTCGGAGATCGGGACAAAGTTCTTCACGGAGGCGCGCAAATTTTCGCTTATCAGAACTCCCACCCCATGTCTGTGGTGAGGGTCTGTGCTATCACTGCATAAGTAGTAAAGGGTTTTACCAGTAGTATTGATCATGCCTGTGCCTTCCCATCGCAATTCGCTTATGCCGAGAATATCGATGTTAATTCTGTTCATTTCCTGAATTAGATTTTGTAGTTTGCCTGCTGCAAATAGGCTTCTGACATTCCACGTAGCAATTTTGATTGTCTTATCAAGTTGAAACCGGGAGATTCTTCGCACCACTTGACCATTTAAGGCCTGCCGGGACTAGGGGCCGTTTGTTTTGTTTCTTCCAACATGACAAGAAAAAATCTACGGACGGATGTCCTGAGGAATATAATGCGGTAGTTTCCTACTTGCTTTCCGCATCGCAGTACCGTAGCCCTCTAACTGTTTCAGTCTCTCCTACGGTATTCTAGTAAGAAGCCGGTTTAGGATCATTTCCTTTACGCCTAATTCTAGTACTGGTGATCGCTGCTGCCCTTCACCAGGTTGATTCTATACTATCCCTAGAAACAGGGTTGCCACTTCCGTTGAATTCACTGAACCGAATACTATATTCTCCACCTTCATCATCGTTGTGGTCTTCACCCGTTTCCCTGGGCAAGGGGGCCGTGTTATACCCCAAAATTGTATTGCAAAATACAGACTGCCATGATTGTCGCCAACATCCGAAACGGATAGGCGCTACAAGAAGAAGATTCATACACTCATTATAAGTCAAACTCAAAGACTTTCATAGCCACTCTCCATTTTTCAACACATAGCGCTCGTTTGTCAAGTTCTTGTTCTCCTCCAAAAATTACAAAACAGTTTTTTAAATTCCAAAATCTTGCCAGTACATTTCCTTTGGACACCCAACGTACACTGTAATAAAGGATCAATTCGTTTTCCTCCCGCGTTTATTTTTAAAAGAGTTCTAAGGAAACGTCCTCCATTGGTAACTCGAGTGTGTATTTTATTGATAAAGACTAAATCACCGACGGCATATCAAGACACATAATGATCCTTGATTGATTATACAATGAAATTTGAAGACTTTTATTGTAAAACCTTTTTAAATAGCATTATAAATCCTTTGATGTGATCGACCATGCAAGACTGCCTGCACCCATATGCATCCATACAAACTGCCTGCACTTTGATGCATCTAATAATATTTTTTACTTAGATTAGATTAGATTATGTGAGGTCGTTAAGGCCGTGCGGCCTCACCGCACTTCGGCCTATACAGATCTTTTGTGCATACCTTAATCTAGTTAAACTCTAGAATGCCAATACTTCTGATGAATTTTAGTTGTTTGCAGAACAGTGCTACGCAGTTGCATAGTATATGTTCTGCCGTTTCTTTTTTATTGTGACAGAAACGACAGTTCTCACTATCTGATTTGCCCATCCTCTTGAGATGATATCTCAGAGGGCAGTGACCAGTGAGAAGGCCAGTGACCATTTTAATATCTTTCTTACTCATTTCGAGAAGGCGGTTTGTTGCAGTAGGCGACACTTTTATGAGCCTTTTTGCTTGCCTTTGTCCTGGTGTGTTAGAACAATAAGTTCCCAGGTACGGAGTTCCTCTCTGATGTGGCTTTTCGATAGTCCACAGAAGGGTTCCGGACCCTGGAATGGGGTATTAGCTCCTTCTTTTGCGAGGCTGTCAGCTTCCCATTTCCTGCAATTCCCTTGTGACCTGGCACCCACATCACAGTTACATTGTTGCGTTCCGCCAGCTTCTTGAGAGATTGTTTACAGTCCCAAACCAACTTTGACTCACATGTAAATGACTTTAGAGCCTTTAGGGCGGCTTGGCTGTGATAAAATAAAGACTTTTGCCCTACGAGTGTCTCGGTTGAGACATTCTTGGGCACTTATGTCTATGGCATGTATTTCTGCCTGGAAGATGGTTGGGGCGTTTCCAAGAGATTTAGATAGCCTGAAATTGGGCCCAGTAACTCCCACTACTGCCCTTTCATCTATCTTAGATCCATCCGTATACCATACGAGTGAACCCTCTTCCACTTTTGGCTCAATTTCTTCACCCATTTGGTGGTTTTTTATGACCACTTCAAAGGGTGTTTCAAAGTCGAATTTGACTGGCATAGCATCTGTCGGCATGTCCTTAGAATCCAATGGCATTTCTTCCACGATTTTCAGGTGGCCAACTAGATCTCCAGGTTTCATTATTTGTGTCTGTCGCAGTTTTAAGGCGGTAGTTACTGCCTCCCTCCTTATGCAGAACTGCAAGGGAAGAAGGTTCAGCATCGCCTCTAGAGCTGCAGTATTTTTTACTTAGTCCAAGATATCCTGTCTTGTTTTTTAGATCAAATGACGCAAATCCAATAGCTCCTCCACTACATTCGAAACTATCTATCACGAAGCGTACGAATATCATCATCATTTTGGCTTTTGTTCCATCCGCTTGTATCGTCTTCTACACATTCCATTGTCTTTCACTGCTCCATAGATTGGCCTTAGTACTTTTGTTTCGAAACATTCTAACATGTTTTCATTATTTGTCGTTAGAGTGCAAGTCTCTGAACCATATGTCAGGACTGGCCGTATTATTGTTTTGTACAGTTTTATTTTTGTATTTCCGATATAATTGTGGATTTAAGAAGGAGATTGAGCCCAAAATAGCATCTGTTGGCCGTGCAAATTCTGCGGTGTATCTCTGCGGATAGTATTATTTTTAGTGTTATGGAGCGCTCCCAGGTATACAAATTCGCTCACTGCTTCGATGACGTCGTTTTTTATGACAAGTGGTCGTCGGATTTCTGGTTGCGTGCTTATTTTGATATACTTCGTTGTGTTGGTGTTGGTGTTTGGTGTTGGTATTTATTATATATTGAACCATTGCTTGTAATTTGTGACACATGTATTACTTTTTTCAGAGAAAGATTGAACAGTATACAGGAGATATAATGTTCTAACAGTTCCCCCTGACTTCGTACTTTACATTAAACTTTTTCAAGAATTAGTTTTCTTAAATTTACCAACTGATTTGGTATTCCTAGTTCTTTCATTGCTTTGAACATTTCTCTTCTATTCACAGAGGCATAGGCTACTTTATAGTCTATAAATATGTGATGAGTATCAATGCCATATTTCAGTGTTTCATTTGTTTTTGGGTTGCAATCTGATGAATTGTCGATTTACCACCTCTAAAACCAGACTGGTATTTTCCTATAATATCCGTTCTGCAAATGGTGCCATACGGTGACATGGTACTGTAAAAAATATTTTATATGCATTTCGAAGCGTAATACCTCTGTGGTTAGAGCATTTAAAGATATCTGCTTTTTTGTGTATAGTGCAAAGTATTCCAATATTCCAATCATTGGGGAGCGATTTCTGTCCACCCATCTATTTAATACATCTTTCTTTGTTGTTCATAAGTCGCCATTCTGACTTTTGCATTATCTTGTGATTTCCTTGAAGTCTTTTCTGTTGATGTTAACTTTTTAAAGAATGCTCTGAATTCTTTCTCTCTATTAAAGTTTTCTATATATTTAAGTTCCTCATTTAGGTGGTTTCGTTTTGCCTCGTAGTCTGAAGATTCTTTATTTGAACATCCTGGGGCATATTATCAGTTCGCCATAGGGGTGTTTCTGGGTAAATGAATATTATTAAACTGTTTTTAGCTATCTCCTCTCTATCGAAATTAAGCTTTATATTGCTAATATAATGATCATATTGATCATATGAAGTTTTTTACCATTGTTTCCATTTCATCATTTCTTTTTTGGAACAAAGATAGTTTCTCGGGTTTTTATACTATAATTAGGTGTCAATGACATCGACAAAACAATGACCAATATCTCTGGTGACTATTGTGCATGGACAAAATTGTGGCAGCTGCTTTACAGCGCCACTCAGTGGCATAGCAAAAAAATCATTTTTACTGAGTTTGTTTTCTTCCAATAACTTTAATTATGGATTGTTGGTGTGAGTTTTTTTATTATTTCATTCCTTATTATATTTCAAATTTTGTTCCCAGTGCATCTATAAAATCAGTTGCCTTGTTAATATGTTTTTTGTTATTATTTAGTTTCTTATTCTGATCCAAATTTTGTTCACAGAGGATCTATAAAATCTATTGCCTCGTTGGTATCTGAGAAATAAAGCTTGTCCAAACCTTTTCACAAAGGAAAATTCTAACAAAAGGAGTATTAATTAACCTTTATTTTAGTCTTGGCCTAAAGATGCTCTTCTAGCAGTAGCAACGAGATTTCTCGGAGAGATAGAACTGACAGACATAGAAAGAAAAGTGTGCATTGACATGTGTCAAATCTTCCACGTCTCCACTCAAAATTTGTCCAACGAATACATGCTTAGACTTAATCGACACAACTACGTTACGCCCACATCCTACCTAGAGATGATCAGCACGTTTAAGACTTTCCTTACAAAACAAAGAACGTAAGTAAACCAGATCTTATGTTATTAGAAAATTGTTCCCTAAAGCTTTATTAAGCCAATAATTAGGATAAACCTAATTAAAACGTTCTTCCTTGATGTTTGCCTTTTCCCTCTAAGTCTGTCTTCGGTTCTGGAACTACATGTTCAGTTTTCTATGAAGTCGACACATTCATGTCGTAGTGTCAACGAATACAGGCTTTTAAAGAAGAGATAAAGGCACTCATGCTTTCTTGTGTATAATATGCAGCCCTTTGTGTAGCTTTACTTTAAATCTTTAAATTTACTCCTAGGGAAGTTCTCCAAGGAAAACATCGTTATGAAGTAGGCTTAGAAAAACTAGAGGCAGCTGGAGCCGAGGTAGCAGTAATGCAAGCCGCCCTCGAAGCCTTACAACCCCAATTAGTAGTAGCCGCACATAACGTAGAAGAAACGTTGAAAACCGTCGAAGCCGAGTCACATGAAGCTGCGGTGGTCGAGAGACACATCCAAGAGGACGAAGCTGTGGCCAATGAGCAGGCCAAAGAGTCTCAAGCTATCAAAGACGATTGCGATGCAAATCTGGCGGAAGCGATGCCGATATTGAATGCAGCGTTGGCAGCTTTGAACACTCTAACGCCAGCTGATATTAGTGTTGTTAAAACGATGAAAAATCCTCCGAAAGGGATTAAGTTGGTGATGGAAGCTGTCTGTATATTGAAGGTTGGTTTAATATTATATAAAATTTCTTATGGCATCACATTTTTTATCAAATATCCTCTTATTATGTTATGTAAACAATGTAAAACGTCAAGTTGTAAAGAGTTCAAACTGGTAAGAAGAAAAAAGAGATCCTAAGCTAAGTGTATTAGGTACTTATTTAGTTGATGATAGAAGGAATATTGAAATAATAAGATTCTGATGGTGATGATGACAATCCATGTTTGTATCTTAAATAATTGAAATATGGTTACAAGGAAAATAATTAGATTATTTGGTTAAAATAATCATATATTCAAGACTGTTATATATTCAAGTAAAAAATCAAGGCAAAAATATTGATAAACTGACACTTCTACCAGTCTGAACGCTTTGTCTTTGTATAAGATTTATAAATATGTTGAGGATAATTTTCCCTTAACCCTATTAATCCCAGACGAAATTATAATTTGTCAACGTTTAAGTCCCACCGGTACATGTAAGTACCACTTTGTTTATTTTACATTAAAACTATATAGAGAAAACTAGAAATATATAGTTATTATAATATGTCTTAATAAATTTTTTCACTCTGAATTTTTCCGCGGTACTTTTCAGTACTACATTGTTTTGGTAACAACACAGTATCAATTATAAAAATTAAATTGTTTAAAATTTAATAAAAATTAAAACATAATGACGGTATTAGATTTTGATTTGATACAGAGCAGCGACAAGCCACACATACGTATTTCGACCTCTTTAGGTCTCCTCAGTATGGTGTGCCACTACTCTGTATCGAAACAAAATCTTTTCCCGTCGTAGACCATAGATATCAAAAATAACTACGCCATATAAGAACAAAAAGATAAATCATACGATCTCTACTTGCAAAGCAAACAGCTTGATGAATAAATCGGCAAGGGAATCTAAGTTTTATTTCTTTACTTTGTTTGGAGTACCATAAATTGAATTCACTACGAATTTTGACCATGATGAACGGCATTCGGAGTGCAATCTTAGATTCCCTTGCCGATTTATTCATCACACTGTTTGCTTTGCAAGTTTTAGAAAGCACGGTGGTTAAGATTTGAATTCGATTTCGCCAGGTAGAGATCGCATGATTTCTCTTTTTGTTATTAAAAAATGATTGTAAGATCTTCTATTTATTAAAAAAGTATTATCTCTATGATATCAATATCTGGGATATAAGGATGGTTTCGGTAACTGATACTTCTAAGTACCTCTGGGACTGAAAGAAAAACAGAACAAAATTCAACCCTTAGTTTGAGTTGCCACTATTGCACATTTTGTCTTTCAAGATTAATTAAGAAAAAAACGATCCTCTCTTTGCGAACCAGTTGGTGTCAACTAAAATGGTTTTATTTTTTCTTTAAACCGGTAGATTTAGACTGGCTACTCCTGCTCGAGATAGGATTAATTCATTTCTTTTCTGATAAGTCTTTGTATCTGACATTTTTAAAACAATAAATTTATTTCTTTTATTTGATGTAACACAACTCCAAAATTCTACTATAGTGGCACAACTCAAAAGTGCTGGTATTGCATAGAAACTTGATATTGACACGGTTAGACTTCCACTCTGCACAACAATAAAGGGACAATATTGCAATAAAAAACGACACTAGTGACGTCTAGCGTCTATTTTTGTTAGTAGTATTGTGCCAGTTTTGCAGGTCATAAATAAGGCATTTTTAAGCCCTTTGGTGATGTAAACTCAATTTTGTCACTTGTTTAGTTAAGCCACTTTTGCATACAGCCAGCGATGTAAGCTACATGCTTATTTACCACGTTATGTATAAAATACGAGGAAAATAGTCCAAATATATACGCGGGCGGCTATGATGGTTGCCATATTCCGTAACAGTGAAATTTTGTCCAGAGAGTCACGTCATCAGCGATATAGATCTTTTTTATTTATACTGACTGAACTCTAACCCGAACTCTAAATAAGTAAAATATTGATCTTTTAATTAATTTTGACAAATAATTCATTTTAAAATGTATTATATAAATCACCGATTATTGATTTATCTTTTACTAATTTTAGGACGTCAAGCCCCAAAGAGTTCCCGCGCCGAGCGGCATCGGACAAGTCGACGACTACTGGGGACCTTCGTTAAAAGTTTTGAGCGACATCAAATTTCTCGAAAGCCTAATTTTGTATGACAAAGATAACATTCCTCAAAGAATAATGGACAAACTTCGACATCAAATATTAAACGACGAAAATTTCGATCCGGACAAGATTAAGACCGCCTCAACTGCAGCAGAAGGTTATAAAATTGATTTTGAAAGGATCATTTTTTCAATTCCATAACAAATTTATAAGATTATATATACATATATACATATATATATATATATATATATATATATATATATATATATATTTAAATTGATAACAATAATATTTAGATAATCAATATCAAACTGGGTTTCTGGGTTAAGCTGCGTCGCATTTTACTACACTGAGGTTTCGACTCCCATTTCATTATCAGGGCATTCGGGGTCTCAAACTTCTCGAACTTACCAGATCACCTCATTACTACACTGTTCACTGTTTGCATTAGTACAGTGAACAATAAATGGTGAACATCTAAAGTGAATGTAATGCACAGTAAAGTGATCTGGAGCTTGGAAGTCTTGATGATGATTTCAAAGAGAGAGTCGAATACTCAACATAGCAAAATTCGACGAGGTTTAATAGAAAAACTAAGTAAGTTTTATATTAATTATTCTGATTGTAACGAATATATTTTGTCTACCTCAGGGTAAGATTATGGAGGGTAAATATAGGGCAAGCAAAATAAACGCTACTTGTGCGAACGGCACTCAGGGTTTGTTAGTAGAGCTGGGGTCGTGGATAAGTAAAAGATAGGGGTTGGATTGGAGCAACTACAAAAAAATGGAAGAAAGAGTCATGAATTTTTTGGGACAAATAAAAAAAAAGAAACAGGAAACACCTCTGGTAATTTAATATAGGGCGTCACTTCGAGGTGCCTAATTATAACGATTACAACAGCTAGTTACTAGAGATTTAATTATTAAACATAAAAAACATATCTTTTTCAAATGAAAACTTAAAAAAGAGTTAGTTAAAAAAGAGTAAACAAAATGTTAAGAAAACAAAATTTAACATTTATTGTGTCTTACCACAAACAGTTATAAAAATAATGGCACAAATTTACAAATAGATCAATAGTTACAGAAAACAAGAATAACAAAAAAACTTACATCTGTCCTAGCCGTTTACAAATTCTGTTGCTAAAAAACTTACAAAATTGCATGGAGGTTAACCTTCTTTAAAAATAAAACAAATAAATATCGGAGCTGTCATAAGTTAACAATAAATTAAAAAAAAACTGAACACACAAATTGACAGTTAAAGTCAAACCCTAAAATTTTATAATTTATTAATTATTATAAATCCTTTAAATTTTAATGAAAGCAATTATATTATTAAAAAAATGTCTACTTTACTTTAAATATTTACACAAAAGTTACCTGAATTGCACTGGGTTTTTCACTAGAATTCTGGAACTATAACTGAAACTAAATAAACTGCACAAAGCAGAAACAGCGAGATTGAAGAAGCACTTCAACTGGAAACAAACTGGAACATCAGAATTGCTGCAGGCGACACAAATCTCTTAAATACTTTTTTAACCTCCTTTGTAACTAGACATACTTCACAATTTACTTTTGACTGCTACATATTTCCATAAAAGGGGTCAATAACAGAAAACTACAAAATTCCACGGATGAATTTGGATCCATACCTGAGCCTACAGCGACCCAAGTAAGAATGACGAAATTATCTTAAAAATTGATCGCATAAGTTAGAATAAACAAAAATGATGGTTGAAAGTTGAAACGCAAATCATTTATTAGAAAACGCAATTCAAGCAGTTCCTATAAAACATTAAAAGAAATACCGAGGAAGTAACATCTATAAAATATAAACAAACTATAAAATGGTTTATATTCTCGAGCCGACTTAAGAAGGAACTGAAAACATATTTGGGTTTTAATACGTACGAATAGGAAGATACATTAAAAATATTTTTCGATTTTCAAACATATATGAGGGGATTTCAATATATTACATATACAAGTGGATTTCAATATACACCAAAGAATCAATGAAATTGCAAATGCTACATGATATTTATCTTAGTATATAGACTTTTGTTGATTTAGGTTTGTGCAAATGGGTCATAGCAATATCGAAATACGATAAAGTGGCGAAAGTTGTAGCACCCAAGAAAGCTGCATTAGCGATAGCAGAAGGACATTTGGCAAAAGCAATGGCTGATTTGGAACTGAAAAGGGCGCAACTGCGAGAAGCTAAGGAACGAGTAGCGAAGTTGGAGGCCCAACTGGAGATCGAGAAGAAAAAGTTTCAGGTAGAGTATTCACAATATTGATATACATCAATATTGGCTCCTGCTGTTAACGAAAATGTTAAGGTGTCACGTCACCTTAACATTAAATTGGGTTATTAATAGGTTTATTGTTTTTGTCAATTAATCGGTTAGGGGTATTTGTTCGTAATTTTCCAGATAATTCTTTCACTTTTTTATGTAAATTATAATGGTCATGCTATTTCTGCAATTCTTTCACTTCGATGCCATTCACTTTTCCTAAGCTTCTTTTATTTTGCTCCTTAATAATTTATCTTTCTCTCTTTACTTATTTGAGTTTATGTTTTCATATTTTTTTCTTTGTTTCATGATTTCCAGCATTTCTTGAGTCATCCAAGGTTTCCGTCTTTCTGTTTTCTTTTGTACAGTTTCTTTCTGTATTTTTATAATAAAATCTTTGATTTTGTTCCACAAAATGTTCACATTATCAGTGATTTTTATTTCTGATGTTAATTTCTTCAGTTTTTGATTGATACAAGTTGAAGCCGAAGCACGGATTTCATTTATCTTGAGTAACTGAGTATTCAGCTTAAAACTTCTGGATTTTATTATCTTTTTTGCCCTCAGTTTCATTTTTGAGACAAGGAGGTTATGGTCTGAGGGAACATCTGCTCCAGGAAAAGTCTTAACGCTTACAATGGAATTTCTAAATCTTGGATTTGGTAGAATAAAGTTGATCTGATTTCTAATTCAATGTTGTTCGTTATCCTGTGGTGACCTTCAGGTATACAGTCTACAAGGTGATAATCGAAAACATGTGTTTATATTCGCCAGGTTTTCTTCTTGATAAAATTAAGCCAATCTGTCGCCTCTAGAATTCCTTATTCCTAAACCATAATCACCAATTATGTTGTCCACTCGGCCTTTTCCTATCTTTGCATTTAAATCACCCATTATTATAAACTTTATTCTGTTGACTCTTCGGTACCGTCACCCGGCTTTTTAGTACAGTCAGGGCGTTCCTTGATTTCGATATATTTTTTGATAATTCTTGAATAACCATTAATCTAAGTAGGATATACCAAAAATTAGTCTCTAAATCCTTCTCCATGAATATTGTTTTTATTTATTTTCAGATTTTTTAATAGTGTTTCTCTGTTTTTACATATTAGTTTTTGTGTTTTTACATATTATAGCGGCGAAGGAGATCTGGATGACTACACTTTGCGCCGAGGCTGAAAGCCTATATAAACTCGGCGACAGCTTCAATCTTCACAAGAAAATTAAGGAAATTGCTGGTGTCTTCAAGAAAAAACAAGTCACTGGTATACATAATGACCAAAATGAATTAATAACGGACCCTAGCGATATACTTAATACTTGGAAAATGTACACAGCCAATTTGTTCAATGATGACAGAACACAAAAACCACCACAACTGAGAGACCATTTGTATGGCCCAAGTATTTTGAAAGCTGAAATTGTACACGCTATCAAACTATTAAAAAGTAACAAAATCCCAGGACCAGATGATATGTACGCAGAAACAATCAAGTTACTTAATGAAGAAAACCTAGACATTATTGTCAAGCTCTTTAACGACATCTACGATACGGGCCAGATTCCAAAAGATTGGCTTCGATTTATCGCCCTACCAAAATCACGACGTGCGAACTTCTGCAAGGACCACCGACTAATAAGCCTAATGAGTCACTTTTTAAAACTTTTCCTGAGAATACTTCACACTAGATTGTTTAAGAAATGTGAAGAGGTCAGTGGATGGAGTCAGTTAGGTTTCAAAAATGGACTTGGCATGAGAGAAGCGATCTTTAGTATGCAAACATTGATACAGAATTGTTTAGATCAAAGAAAGGATGTTTTTATCTGTTTCATCGATTACGAGAAAGCATTCGATAATGTAAAACATGAATTGATGATAAAATACCTACAAGAGTTGTTATTGGATGCAAAGGATATAAGAATCATCGCCAATCTGTATTGGAATCAGACAGCAACAGTACGTCTTCAAAATTCCAACGAAACAAAAGATTTCTCTATTAAAAAAGGAGTAAGGCAAGGTTGTATACTGTCCCCAATGCTGTTCAATGTATACGTAGAAAAAGCCTTCGCAGAAGCAGTGGAAGACTCTAATAAGGGTATTAAAGTTAACGGCATATTTATTAATAACATCAGGTATGCCGATGATACAGCCATAGTGGCAGATAACATCGAAGATCTTCAATGCCTTTTAAATGATCTAACTCTTGCAAGTGAAGCTCGGGGTTTGAAAATAAATATCAAGAAAACAAAATCAATGATTATAAGTAGAAATGATTACCCCAACGCAAAGATATATGTCTCTGGAAAAGAAATCGAACAAGTCAGGCAATTTAAATACTTGGAATGTTTGCTGAATGAGGGTTGGGACCCCGAGAATGAAATAAAGAGCAGAGTTGAATAAGCCAGAAATGCTTTTTTGAGGCTTCGTAAGTTTCTGACTGATCGCAAATTGGACTTCAACCTCCGATACAAGATGCTTAAGTGTTACGTGTGGCCTGTTCTCCTGTACGGAATGGAAGCATGGACGTTAAAGGCCAGTTCCATTAACAAACTTGAAGTGTTTGAAATGTGGTGCTTGCGTCGAATGCTCAGAATATCATGGACAGACAGGGTCAAAAATGAGGAAGTACTCAGAAGAGCGGGCTTACAGGATAGGGAACTTTTTAATTATGTAAAAAGTAAGAAGACTGCATACTTGGGGTACATTATACGAGGAGAACGATACACTTTTCAGCAACTGATACTCGAAGGGAAGATAGAGGGTAGGAGAGGTCTCGGACGTAAAAAAAATGTCATGGCTGCGCAATATTCGACAATGGACAGGAATCCACAGCTATGAAATGCTTCGCAATGCTGCTAAAAACAGAATTATTTAAACCAGAATATTTAACATCTCACCTGACAGGACGATGTACGATGGACGCCTACGCAGAAATGCACGGCACCTTAAGAAGAAGAAGTTTTTGTGTGTGAAATGTTTGGTATTCTGCATCCATTCTGATTCTTATTTATACTGACCATTTTAGGATAGATTACATCTTTTACTAGAATATTTATTTTATTATTTATAAATGTACTTTTCATATTACAGACTTTAACAGACGAAGTAAACCTTTGTCAACTTAAGCTACAAAGAGCAGAAGAACTCATTGGTGGCTTGGGTGGTGAGAAGGACAGATGGAAACAGATTGCCAAAGATTTGGGCGAAAAATATTACATTCTTACAGGTAATTCTGACACAATATTAGATAGGTTAGAGTGGCTTAGATAAATTTGTTTTAATATCAATTTCACACTTTAAATTTCGATTTTCATCATCATCATCAACTTGGTGGTATAGCCCTTAGAGGGCCTAGACCTTCTTAAGCTTTCTACGCCATTCTGTTCTGTCCCTTGCTTGCATTTTCCAGTTGCCGACTCCGATCTTCTCGGCATCTTGTGTTTTCAGTCCATCCACCTTGGTCTACCCCGTCTTCTCATTCCCACGGGTTGCGCTATTGGAATCTTTTTTATCATGTTCAATTCAGGGGCCCGGGATACATGTCCTCCCCACTGCAGGCTGTTTCGCTTAATTATAGTGGTAATATCTTTACCACCAAACGTATGTTTGTAGATATTTTGCAGTTCAAAGTTATATCTAGGCCACCATATTCCGTTCTCACAGACCACTCCGAATATCTTGCGAATTGCTTGCGAATAATTTAGATTTTAAAAGGTTTTAAAAGACTATTGATCAACTTTTAATAGTCTTAGAATTTGTATCCGTAATTATTTATACTTTTAGGCAATATTCTCGTGGCAGCAGGAGTGGTTGCCTACTTGGGACCATTTACAATGCAGTTTAGACAAAAACAGATAGAAAATTGGACAACAACTTTGAACAGTTTCGGTGTAGTATGTTCCAAAGATTTTCAGCTGACTGCGGTCTTGGGAGAACCAGTAACGATAAGAGCCTGGAATATTTTTGGCTTACCTACAGACACGTTTAGCGTCGATAACGCCATTATTATTTCGTAAGTCATTCAAATTCGTTTGAACAGTTATAGTTTTTGTTGCCGTTAATGGATGGTATACCATTGGTATAAATTAAATTAAATATTGCGACATTTTTTGTAAAAAAAAGTGTAAAAGATATCTGCATTTTTGATTAAAGAAATCCATCTATGAAATACAAACAAATATTTTTCTAATAAAGCATAAATACTTGAATGTATTAACTTGACTTGACTCTGGATATTGAGGAATGTGTTGTACTACTTTAATTATTGACCCTTATAGACCAGTCTGGTTAAAAAAAAAGTCAATAAATTTTTCACAGATCTGATGCTTTTAAGACATAGGTGGGGTTAGTAGATGACGAATAGATGAAAAAGTACTCGTATTTTTACCATGTGTTTTTTTTAACAATAAATTTATGGTCACAATTTGATTTTTTGTCTATGTTTTATCATTTTTTATATAAAGAATATCTTTATTTTCCCTTTTTTTAAATTAAAATTAATAAATAATTTACGATAGCAAAAAAGCAGTTTTTTTGGCACTAATTTATAAACTTTATTTATTTTTTTATTAACAAAATACAATGTTATTAATACACTATAGTTTATTTTTATGAACGAGAGAGTAATTAGCATAATTTTAACTGATATCTCCGACCACTCCATGGGCGTGCTCAAGATTAATTGAAAAATTACTTTGAATAATTGTAAAAAATAAATGAATGATTTCAGTGTTATAAAGTGTTCTGTGTATGTAAACAAAAGTGACCTCTTTTATCACACACTATATTAGAACTGACTGGCCTACATTAAAAAGGGTTTTAAAAAATTCACATTATTTTTAATTTTTAAAAATTACAAAAGAGAAAAAGAGTTTTTAAAACCGTCTAAGGTATGTTAAATAGATGAATAAAAATATTAATATAAAACTTACAGCTACTTGTTACAAATCCAAATCAGATTCAGAAGATGAACTTTCAGAACCAAGATTTATAATAACTGGCTCGATCATTTTATCAGTAATATTGTCCAGCTTCCACATTTTTTCCTCTTATTTAATAGTGTGATTTACTGCCTTCTCCCAGTTTTCAGGTTTTACATTATTTACGGCCTCCAAAAACAACTGTTTAACATCATGAATTTTAAAAGTGGTATTTTTTCTTGAAACTTCACTCTTTATCTGTGCCCATACCAGTTCAATCGGGTTTAATTCACAATTATATGGTGGGAATCTAAGTACTGTCATTCAACGATTTTTGGCAATTTCATCAATTTCGTATTTTTAAATTTTTCTTTATGAAGGGCACACAACGAATAAAGTTCCTTTCTTATAGATCCGGGATGGTACGTAATATTTTTTGAACTCAGCCAATTCTGCAAGTCTTTTTTTAACCACTTGGTTGTGGGCAGTCCTTCTATAAGTCTGGAGTGATAACATGCATTATCCATTACTATTACACAGTTCTTAGGAAGAAGATCTATCATTTGTTCGAACCATTCTTGAAAGACATCAGCGTTCATGTCTTCATGGTAGTCACCGGTACGAGTTGATTCAAAAGTTAATAAACCACCTTCAACAAAACCGTCTGAACTGCCAATGTGTACTATTATCAGCTTGCGTCCCTTTCCTGATGGTGGGTTTAAACCAGTAGATAAGTTATTTACAAAAGCGTGCCTTTGACTTGTAACAGTTTCATCCTGCAAAAATTTATTTGGTGTATGACCCTCGTTGATCCATGTTTCATCAAGATAAAATATTTTTCTTGTTTGGTTTCTCATTTCCTTTATGGTTCTTAGAAAATGTCTTCTCCATATGACAATATCGCTTCTTTCTAATAAAATAGACTTTCTGGGATTCTTTTTCCAGCGGAAGCCTATTTCTTTTAAAAGTTTCCATAACGTACTTCGACTCATTTCTGGGTAATCCTTATCATCTCGAACTGAGACAAGAACTTTATCCAATGTTGAAAATTCTTGTCTAAAGAAGAATTCATGCACTTTCCGTCGAAGTCCTTTTTTAAAATGATATTCTATTTGAAATTTTGGTTTCCCTGGAGCATTACGTGGCATTTGAAAACTACCACATTTCTCTTCTTTAATAACTCTGTAAATCGTAGATTTCCTAACACCAAGTGTACTGCTAACTAACTCAACGGTCTCATCAACACTTTCACATAAACGTTTGTCTGTAAATGATTTAAAACAATTAAATATTAATGTTTTTTCATTAACTGTTAAAGGACCAATTTTTCGGCGTTTACACGGCACTTCCAAATTTTCCATAACACTAGTATACAAAATAAACTGCACCTTGCAACTGAAGTACCTACTTTTAGTGAACTGTTTAGAATTTTGAATACGCCACTTGGACCTTCCTACAAAATGGAAAAACCCACTATCACATTTTCTGTGGAATAAGTTTAGAAGGTAATTATCTAGTCAATTACTGTCGTAGATTCCTGGAATTAAAGAATTAAATGTTTGATTGTTGAAACCCTTACTTCGTGGAATGCACTCATTTCAGATAAAATAAAACGTTTTATTTTATCTAAAGAATTAAACTTTATTTTGCAAATAGGTAGGTACTTATTAAACTTTTATTGGTTATATATAACCAATAAAATAAACATCTTACATTTCTTGCAAATTCATTAGTACCTGTTAACCTCCATCACTTCGACACTGGCAACCTTATTTAGGGATAAGTAACCCTCACAACTATTGTATTCTATTCTGCTCCAACCTTTATACCTGGTGGTCATACTCAATTTAAAATTGTTTTCCTATATACTTCTGTAAACTTGTTGACAAATATCTGTTTTTCATTGAGTCACCCGTATCAACAGTTTAGGGATTTGCATACATAATTTATTGTTTTATTACTCTTTCATACATAAAAATACACTATAAGAACCGATTGTTCGAACGCTAATCAAAACATGATTGTAATCAAATATTTAATTACAATCAAATACGTCACAGCAGCTGTCAAAATTATTAAAAATTGCTTATTATTATTATTGATTTGTAAATAAAAACATGAAATTAACATCAGAAAGAGTTAGAACATCAGAGAAAGAATAAAATACTATATTTTCTGATCGTAGTAATGCCAGACGATATCCTTTAATGATCGATCCCCAAGGACAGGCTAATAAATGGATAAAAAATATGGAAAAGTCCAAAAATTTAGCCATTATCAGACTAAACCAGGCTGATTATGTTAGAATATTGGAAAACGCTATTCAGTTTGGACAACCGGTAAGAACAAAAGCTTTATTCTGCTTTTTAAGATGTCTTTTCTAGATACTAATATAAAAGAGACTCTAATAGTCGATTCTTTCAATAAGCTTTTCTTCATTTTTAGACTATTTGATTTTTGCTATTTTTCTTACAATTCTGGTGAGATCAATAAAATCACTTTAATCAACCGGTCATTTCAATTTTTTTTTAATTGCATCTTTAACCTCAAAAATCGTTGGTGGTTTCTCTTCCCTCTCGTCTGTTTCCCTTAGCTCATACCTTTCGCCTTTCAGGTTTTCTTCTTCTAGAAGAAGAATACATCTTTCTTTGTTTTCTGTTGATGTTAACTGTCTTATAGAATGCTTTGAATTATTTCTCTCTTTGAAAATTTTCTATATATTTGAGTTTCTCATTTAAATAGCTTCGTTTTTTTCCTTTTGTGGATCCTCTTTTCTTCTCTGCTCTTTGTCTGGTAATTCTCTACAGTTGTAAGCATTTTTGTAGGCTTCCTTTTTTTTTGTTTCATTCTTGCATTAATCGTCAAACCAATGATTTTTACGGGCACAAATTCCTGTTCCTATTTTATCTTTCGCTGCTGCTTCAAGGTCTTCCTTCATTCTAGTCCAATAGGTGTCTATATCTCTCTGGTCTTCTTATTTAAATTAATAGAGATGACTTTTATAATAATTTCTGATATTTTAGGTGCTTCTGGAAAATATTGGCGAAGAGATGGATCCAGTTTTGGAACCGGTTTTAGCCCAGCAAATATTCAAACAAGGAGGTGCGTTATGCATAAAACTGGGCGACTCCGTCGTTGAGTACAGCAAAGACTTTAAGTAAGTTATACGTTATTTCGAATAAAACACTATTTTGTAAATAAACGAATCAAATTTGTAGGTTATACATCACGACCAAACTGAGAAATCCTCATTATCTACCGGAAGTTGCTGTGAAAGTCACTTTGGTTAATTTTATGATCACCAATGTCGGTCTGGAGGATCAACTGCTTGGAATTACCGTTGCTAAAGAACGACCTGACTTGGAATCTGAAAAGAATGCGTTAATTATACAGGGCGCCGAAAATAAAAAGTAAGTATCTGTAACTGAAGGTTCAATCTAAAAAATAGTTTATACTCGATTTAAAAATGCATGATAGTAATGCGTGTGTCACAAAATTGTGCAATAGATAACTTTCAAACGGAATATAGTAAGTTTACTTTGTTTGGTTTTGGTTATGAGTACAATCAAATTAAAGTAAACTTTACTTTCAGGCTATTTTAAGATTGTTTATTGCAATTTTTTTCATTTTTCCTTATGTTGTTGTATAAGAACGAAAGAATATTATGATCAAAATTTGAGCAAAATATGATCCATAGGGTTCCAAGCGACAGTTTGTACAAAATTTGTTTTCTAACAGAAATCTATTGCACTTTGAATTCTGCCTAGAATGGTATTAAAAGTTCTGCTATTCGTTGGCAGATAGCGCTACAGTCAACAGTGAAATATAGATCCAAGTACACGAAATGCTGTAAGGTTAGAACCATATGGTTCCAGGTACTACAGTGAAAGTATTGGTGAAAGTTAAACGTCAGTTTTATCAGTTAAAATTATCATTTTTGTTGTATTGGAATGTCCTCTGTCTCCGAAAATGAATCTTGGCAGGATTATTATAGCTCCGGTTCTAAATATCTACCAGAAAGTAGCAGTGGAAAGAAATGGTAACCTACTTAAGATTGTACTTTACATTTCGGAAAAAATATAACCTTACATTTTAGCCGATTGCTGCTGACTGCTGTTCATATTTCTAGTGATTCTGACACAGTTAATACCAGTTGAAATGAAAAACAACGGGTACTTGAGGTACACTCTAAACGGATACAACGGGTACACTCCAAATGAGCTGAGTGAAATATTGATAAGAAAATTGATATATTCAAAATCGTGTGGATTTAATGAAATACCTCAAATTTTATTAAAAAAAAAATAATTCCATTCATACTATCACCTTTAACATTTCTAATAAACTTGTCTTTTTGTTATGGTATTTTCCCGGATTATCTAAAGGTGGGAAAATTCATTCCTGTACATAAGGTCATCCAAAGGATATTAGTAATTATCGCTCAATAACTGCCCCTTCAGTGTTTTCGAAAATATTCGAATACTGTTATCTTAACAGATTACTCTTATTTATTGGAGAACGGTATTGTTAGTATATATCAGCATAGCTTTCAGGCAGGTAAGTCCACAAATACAGCAGTTTATTTATTTTATAAGACTTTAACTATATTGATGCGGATGAATACCCTGTCGGGATTTTTTGTGATCTCAGTAGGGCATTTGACTGTGTCGATCATACCTTACTCATCAATAAATTAGAAAATATTGGAATAAAAGATCTCTCTCCACAGAAGAAATCTCATATTGAACTCCACATGTTAGGCATAAAAACAGCAGTAGAGTGGTTATTAGGATTTCCTGTTTTGGTTTTAGGACTGCTACATTCAAAATTGCTGCTTTCATCACCAGAAAAATTCTGGTTCTTACTCGAATTCAGATGGCCTGAAGCAATTTTTCACCCTGTCTTTACTTTTTAAATTACTGAAAGGTTCGTCATTTGAGTGTAGGCTACTATCATCTACTTCACCCATCAATATTTTTTCGGCTTCCAATTCCAATTTTAATTGGGTAAGGGGCTTTTATCGTCAAATTTTCTAGCCATTTTTTAATTAAATTGTCTGTGAATGAAAAAAGAAAATAATATCAAGATAAAAAACTTACGTTAACATTAATTTTTCGTAAAAAATACGAAACAACTGAGAGACAAAGAAAGGCAACTATACTGTAAATGTACTCGACAAAAACGTTTGTAAATTTTACGAATGGTTAGTGTTCTAGGGTTAAAGTCGAACATAGGACATCTTGTGTCCCAGAAAATATAAAATATGTTACAGCAAGATATTCTTTTATTGTGTTAGAAATTTATTTCGCCAACAATGGATTATACGTCGTGAGCAGCATATTTTATTTAAAAAATAAATTTTCGTTAAAAAATGAATTACCATACATTGAATTAAACATATTTGCGTCCACTTTTTGACCGGCAACCTTTTATAAATTTATTCTCCTATTCTTAAATGGATGTAAAAATGTGAGTTGCATTAACTAAAATATACGTGATCTTACAGTGGAATCTTGTGCTATAATAAATTTTGTCTTTTCCGACCTTTCATCCAAAGAAAGATATTATTTATTTTTTTAAAGATCATTGAAGGAGATAGAAGACAAAATCCTGCTGGTATTGAGTACTTCTCAGGGTAACATTTTAGAAGACGAAACTGCAGTCCAAATCTTGAGTTCGTCTAAAACTTTAGCTAATGATATTGCAGCTAAGCAAGCAGTAGCAGAAGTGACTGAACGGCAGATCGATAAAGCTCGATTAGAGTATACGCCAATAGCAGCACATGCGACAATTTTATTCTTCTCGATAGGTATGTTCAGAAATTGATAATCTATAAACAATTTGATCTAGTGCAATACCTTTTTTTTGTTGACTTACGATTTGTTATTTTAGCTGATTTGGCAAACATCGATCCAATGTATCAATACTCCTTGGTCTGGTTCATAAATCTATTCAAGTCAGGGATCGACAATACTGAAAGAGTAGAAGATGTCGGACAACGATTGAAAGACTTGGAAAAGTACTTCACATATTCCTTATATGTTAATATTTGCCGTAGTCTCTTTGAAAAGGTAAGAACATAGGTTTCATAACATTAAACGAACAATGGATTAGGGAGAAGAGACATAACGACGGAAATATGACAGATACCAATTTTCTTTGATTTGTCAAAATACTGTCATTAGTTCACATTTTTTTTTAATTTTGAGACCTACTTTTAATATTTATTTTACGATTTAATATTTTTTTTCCATATTTATTCAAAATTTTGTTTTTTAATATTGCAGAGTTTGTAACACTCTTCCGTAAATGTAACTATATTCTATTTCTACTTTTTTTATATACCTCTCACACCTTTATAATTTTTGACACATTTTTACAATTTAAAGGTATTTAAAACATTTTTATTTTAATTTTTATTGGAATATATGTAGGTTTCCACAATTTTCTACAATTTTCCATAGTTTTTTTTTTAAATTTTTGCGATTTTTTTTAAATTTCTGTAACTTTTTCTAAAATCGTCCAAAAAGTTGACACTTTTTATATAGGTTTTTTTTACCACACTCTCACGACTATTTGACCACAACTTGTAAATTACCATAGTTTGTAAACATATTATTCTACTTAAGTGAGAAAAGGCAGCAAATATTTGATTTCACGCAAACAAATCCTATGTATCTCTTGATACGTATTTCGACCTAATAGGTCTCGTCGGAAGGATAGGTTCTCAACGTGAAAAATCAATATTTTCTGCCTTTTAAGAAGCAACAATAACATGGCTTCAATACGGACGCAGTAGCGACATCTAATTAAATAATCGTAAAATAGTTGTCGTGGAATGCAAATTTTAGATTCCCCATGTCTCTTTTAACATCTTTTATCAATGTCTGTTTGCCTTGCAATTCTTAGAAGGCTCAGATTATAAAGCAGAAATCTGAATTGTGTTTCGAAACTATTTTACGATTGTTTAATTAGATGTCGCTACTGCGTCCGTATTGAAGTCATGTTAGTGTTGCTTCTTAAAAGGCAGAAAATATTGATTTTTCACGTTGAGAACCCCTATGAATAGCTCTTCTGACGAGACCTATTAGGTCGAAATACGTATCAAGAGATACATAGGATTTGTTTGCGTGAAATCAAATATTTGCTGCCTTTTCTCATTTTATTCGGATATACTCTGTGGGAGTACGAGAAACACAATTCGCTAAGGATTTTTGCTTAGTTGTAAAAGATATGTCGTGGAATGCAAATTTTAGATTCCCCATGTCTCTTTTAACATATTTTATCAACGTCTGTTTGCCTTGCAATTCTTAGAAGGCTCAGATTATAAAGCAGAAATCTGAATTGTGTTTCGAAACTATTTTACGATTATTCTATTTAAATTATTAATACACTTGCAATTATAAAATCCGGGTCACCTTGAAAATTTTAAGTTTCTTAAATATTTTTGCCTTTGTTGCAGTAATAACCTTTTTTTATGCTAATTTATTTTTTATTTGTCATCAATGTTTGTTTTGAACAAAATAGAAACGGTTTTTTATTGTTTTTATTGAAAAAGCAGATAAAACGGACATACGAAAAAGAAATAAAAATACAGAACGTAGTAAAACATTAGTGAAACTTCACCGACTAATACCTATCGTGTATTGCCACCCATTGCTCTAATAACCTCTTGCAGACGACAAGGCATACTCTCAATTTTTCTCCGGATTACAATGTTGTGGTATGTTATTCCACTACCCCTCACTAACAGATCCTTAAGCTACTGTGCGTTGTTAGGAGGAGGTGTATGGGTTTGAATACGTTTGTTCAAATTGTCCTAGAGATGTTCGATGGGATTCAGGTCTTGTGACTTAGTTGGCCAGGGTAACCTCTGTACCCACTTTATGGAAGCAGTGGAGGTTACCCAGTAAATAACACTAGGCTCGGGCTTCAGCCTGGTAGAGGTATCTTGGTCGAGGTTCTTTGCAGCTCAAATACAAAGAATATTATGTTTACGCGGTACACACTTAATATTTCGCCACATATACTTTATTTATATAATAAATTAAATCGTAATATCAATCAATAACAATGTCCGAAAGAGATACACCATGCACATAAAATAAATATATACATAATAAAACAAATAAAAGACAAATAGTTCCCCAGTAGGATTATATTGAGGTTTAGTTAAACTAAATGCACTAGACAGAAATTTTATTGAACAGTTAAATAGCAAGAAATAAGTTACTGCACAATTTATTATGTTGGTCAGATAGTCAAGCGGGCTAGGCGGCTGGTTCTCATTCGCTTCACTGCTAATGGTTCAGTGGATGTGAGATCGAGCTACAGAAAAATAAAAAGGCTAACGCAGCAGTTTAAATAGATAAATCTGCGGCTTAGACTAGAATATGCTGGTGTCTGATCGGCCTATGATGGAGCAGTACGGCAAGAGATAAGAGCTTGCGTCTTGGTGATACTCCTCCATGGATCCCTACCGGAAGGGCGTGCCGTCTAAATACCGGTGTATATATATATATATATATATATATATATATATATATATATATATATATATATACAATTTATTATTAAATACAACGAATAATATTTGCCGAAAAATAATTATGAGTAATTTAGTATTCTTAAAAATAAGAAAAAGGCAAGGAATATGATAGTTGTATCTACGTCAATATTTAATATAACTTAAATAAACATATGAGTGATTTTTAGCCTTGATATTACGTTAACATAAACTTACTGAAATGTTTGATTATAATCACCTCAAATATGTGTATAAAAAATCTATAATAAGGCTGTTTTAGCAGTCAAAACACACTGCGATTGGAAATGGGCGTATCACTTACTTTTCTACACTGCTTACGCCAGCCGATCTTCGGGTACAGCTGTTTTTGCAGTGGCGCCGGCCGGCGGGTGGTTTAATGAGAACAAATGCGTTATTTAAATTACTTTTGTCGGGAATACCTTTTTTGTTTGATTATCGTAGATGTTTTAAAAATAATTATCACATTTTTAATTTATATGTCTTAGCTAAATATAGTATTGAATAAAAATTTGTGAAACGTGACTGTAAAAAACAACATGGTGTTTACTTATAATAAATTTAAAATAACATAAAAATATTATTATCAAAAAAAATACAATTTGTTGTCACAAACAAATAAACAATTTCGTAGTTATAGCTTGAAAATGATTTCAAATCAAACTAACTGACCGTACGTTTATGAGATTTGACGTCACGCAGCCGATAACGGTGAAACTAAATGCCAATGATGAGTAACACGTTTCACTATTAGATTTCAGCATTTTTTAGCAATTTTCTTCAAAGTTTGAACACGCTTTTCTCGATTATTACTGGACATAAAAAGGTGAAAAAAAATCAACGATTACAGAAAAAAAAAACTTTTCAAGTGATGGGCGTAAAAAGTTTGGTTATTATTGAACGTTAAACTGTATAATCCGATATTTTAAAAGAACTTTCAAAAAAATTAAAAAAGTAAAATCATCAGTTTAAAGGCAACATCATTTTGAATAACGTGTCCAAATTTCGAGACATTATGTCGGTAAACAACAGAGAAACCACTGTATCTAGGTTTTGGTGTACCGATAAAACAGCCATAAATATAAACTACATATAAAACAAATCTGATCATATTTCGTATGTATGTAAATACCGTAAATTTATGCTATTAATAGTTCGTTTGGTTTGTTACCACACACCGGACAAAAGATGGTCGTTGAATCGACTTAAGTCGACAAAGGCACTTGACAGGTTACACCTACAACAGGTGTATAAGCAGCGTAGATGATGTAAGTAAGGTACCGAATTACCGTGGATTCAATCAGCACATCAATAATCAAATTAATGTAGGTACAGGTAATACATCGGATTAATCCTCACAATAAACTAGACTGGAATAGAATAGATTGAACTAAATAGATGGAGGAAACGGCAAACAAAATTGACTCAGCGTCATCGAATTGGATGACGTCTGCACTACAAGAGAGAAAATTTACTGTAAGAAGCACTGTATGAAGATAGATGGATAATGATGAATTGAAATTACACTTACCGCTGTTTGATAAAGACAACCGCATGCAACAGGAACCACAACGAAAATAAATTCGATTTTCGATATTTAGACAAGCTAGGGATAAAAAAGAGTGAGAGTATTTGCCGAAGAGTGCCAAGCGAAAATGGTACTTAAATGACAAGTCCGGTGTAGTCTTATTTTATATCTTTTCTACTTTCTTCTGACTGAAAAGATTAATTCATTGAAGAGCCACATCTAAGATTTTCTTAGAAAATAAACTGGGTTATTCGACAATAGGAACGAACTTCTTTGTTAAGAGGAAGAGTTTACATTTAACTAATGAAAGATAATAAGAGCAAGGACAATGTTCTGTGAGCTATTTCGTTGTTGCGAACAGACGTGACAAATCGCTTGTTGCTTAAGGGTTATTTTTAATGCATTTAGCAAAGTCTACGGACATAGGTGGCGTGAAAGTAATTTTCTAAGAGGAATAATTGAGGAAATTTTAAACATGCTTCACGTCGTAATTCCAACCTTGTCCAAGTGTTACATATTGATACTGGCAACATGCGATTGAGCATTGTCCTACATAAAAACGGCGTCTTCTCCAAGCCCTGCCATGGTCGGCATAACATGTTCTTCCAGAATCTCCGTAATGTTACTTTGTGCAGTTAAGTGCTCATTTTCGATGAAGGGTAATTCTGTGCGGAAGCCGGAACATACACTTCCCCAAGCCATGACCGAGCCTTCATCAAATAGCATTCTTGGAGCAAACTCTTACAGGTTCATCGGATTCAGTTAGGCAGAAACGGGATTCATCTGAGAATAACACTTTGCTCCAATCGTTAAGTCCCCAATGCGCGTATTGTCGAGAAAAAGCTAGTCGTGCAACTCGATGCACCCGGCAAAGTGGCGGTCCTGTAGCCATTACCCTAGCCTTTTATTGCCATTAGCTCTCCATTATTATTTCATTAAATTTTTCACAAGATGTCGAAAATTTTTACACATTATTGATAATTTTTTCATTTGTTATACGAGTTTCTCTTCGATTTCCTGCAATATAATATGATTTTCAATGTTTTTCTATAATTTTAAACAATATTTCAAAGAGATTTTCTAAATTTTCACAATTTATAACAATTTTTACCATTTTTCAAATTTTTTTAAATTTATACGTATTTGTTTTATGATGCTGGACAATTCTGCAGAATTTTTTAAAATAGTTCAAAAGTTTTGTCGTAGTTTTTCATGGCTTGCGACAATAGTTTTTAAATCTCATTTATTTTAAACAATTCTGCAGATCCAACTGTTTTCCAGTAATTTCCAGTAATTTTTATACCCAAATTTTCACAATCGGTAACTTAAAATTCTTTTTAGGACAAATTGCTATTCTCTCTTCTTCTGTGTATCAACTTAATGAAGACTCGTGGAGAAATCAATACTCCAGAGTGGATGTTTCTTCTAACCGGTGGTGTAGGTTTAGAAAATCCAAATAAAAATCCCACTGATTGGTTAGTGACAAAGTCATGGGATGAGTTATGTAGATTGAATGATCTACCAGCCTTTAAGTAAGTCAAAAGTTATTCGAAAAAAATTAATTATTGATTTAAGATTAGATTTTTTTAGAAGTTTCTAACTGTTCATATTTATCATTTTGACACTTATACTTAATTTTTACTACATATTAAAAAAAAGAATATTTATAATGTTGTGACCCATTTCTGATTATTTTTCTTGGTTTTGGCCAATTGCACATTAGATGTTAATTTGAGACCATTCAGAGATATTAAACTGCGCTTGCGTTGAATTAAACAAATTAACGATTTTTAGTGGCATCATGAACCACTTTATGGCAAACAGCAGAGAATGGAAAAAAATTTTCGACTCTGGTGAACCGCAGGACCATGAACTACCTAGTCCGTGGCATTCTAAACTGAACGATTTACAAAGGCTGATAGTTTTACGATGTATCCGGTACGACAAAATGGTACCTGGTGTTCAAAACTTCGTTACACGTAAGACATGCTAATAACTACAATACTCTTAGTAATATACATATTACTTTTAGTACATCTTGGAAAACGGTACATAGAACCTCCACCGTTTGATCTGATTTCTTCATTTGGAGATTCCCATTGTTGTATACCTTTGATTTTCATTCTAACGCCAGGTGCAGATCCTACAGCTGTTTTGTTAAAATTTGCTGATGATCAAGGTAATTCAAACACAGTATATCATGTCCACCTTACGTTCCAGACTTATCAGCATGTGATTTTAACAAGTTTTACTTAGTAAATTCAAATGAAAGCTTCTATAATTGTTTGACTTTATTATTGTTTGACTTAACAGTTTTTCGGTTTGTATCTTTTGGTAATATTACATTTTTATCTATCTAGGATTTGGAGCAGCTAGATTATTCGCTCTATCACTTGGACAAGGTCAAGGACCTATCGCTATTAAACTAATTGACGAAGGGGTTAAAAATGGCACTTGGGTGGTACTGCAAAATTGTCATTTAGCAAAGAGCTTTATGCCGACTTTGGAAAGGGTAAGATTTGTGTACAGTACTTTTTATAACATTAATTTCAATAACATTTTGCACACTCAATTACATTTTAAAATAACAGCAAATGCATTACTTAAAGGAAGCTACTAATATACTGGCTTTATTTTAAGTTGATAAAATCGTAAGTAAATTTGGTACCGATTGGTGCCACGCGAATTATTAGGCGTGTCTGCTGACGGCTCCGAACGGTGCCATATATAGCAAACGAGTTAAAATAGAGACAGTTGAAGGATTATTCCAAATACAAACAAATTTAAATATAATATACGAATATTCATTTTGTAGATTTGTGAAAATTTAACTCCGGATGCTACCCATCCTGACTTTAGATTGTGGCTGACGTCGTATCCTGCTGATCATTTTCCTGTGCTAGTATTGCAAAATGGTGTCAAAATGACCAATGAACCTCCGAAAGGTTTGAAGAACAACATAATCAGGTAATTACAAAATACAAATGGATCCTTTTTGTTCTTTAACAAAATTGATCAATCCCGGCATAAATTATTTTTTATTTATATACAATTCTTTCATATATATACAACTTACCTACTGATTCAATGTTCTGCATATTCCTTTCCACGAATACTATGTTTTTCTGTTTGATGTTATCTGTAAAATTTCTCGCTCAGTTTAAACACGCTTCTCATAACATGATTGTTTGTAAATAAGAAGAAGTTTCGTTTTTATTTCAACATCATGATCATTCTGTCTTTACAACCCTGCGTGTGTCCAGGCCTCCTCAAAAATTTCTCTTCAGTCATCCCTATCCATCGCCTTTCGTTGCCAAGTACGTATTCCTATAATTCTCATGTCTTCATTGATGTTATCAAGGAACCTCTTGTTCTGGTCTTCCTCTTCTTCTCTGAAAAAAGAGGAAGACCAGAGCATTGGAGCGTTTTTTAGCTAGGTCATTTTGTTCCATCCGGATTACATGTCCTATTCACCTCAGACGTCCTATCTTAATATGTTTTACGATATTCGAAGTTCGAAGTTGTATTGTCTTCTCCACACTCCATTGTCATTCACTGCTCCTAAAATTCACCTTAGTACTATTATTTCGAAATATTCTAACATCTTTTTATTATTTTCTGGTAGAGCCTAGGCCTCTGAACCATATGATAGAACTCGGCGGATTATTGTTTTGTAGAGTTTTATTTTTGTATTTTTCGATATAATTATAAATTTCAGGAGGATATTGAGCCAAAATAACATCTGTTGCCAGTGCAAATTCTGCGGTTTATCTCCACGGTAGTATTATTTTCAGTGTTAAGGAGTGCTCCCAGGTATACAAATTCGTTTACTGTTTCGATGACGTCGTTTTCTGTAACACGTGGTCGTAGGACTTATGGTTGCCTGCTTATTTTCATATACTTCGTTTTGTTGGTGGTTAAACCCATTTTTGTAGCTGATTCTATTAATGCTACTTACGCCCCCGTACAGCGTTTTCTGTTCACCCAAAAATATTAATGTCATCGGCATAGGTCGTCCTGGCGCACCTCGTTATTTATTTTAAAACATTCAGACAGTTCCCTCTAAATTCGTATTCTACATTCAACTTTTTTAGTTGTTGTTTATTTTGTTAAATTTACTAACCGATTTTGTATTCCTAGCTCTCCAAAATTTGTTTCAGGGTTGTAATCTAATGAATTGTTGATTTACTACCTCTGAAACCAGCCTGGTATTTTTTACTATCCGTTCTGCATATGGTGGTGCCAAAGGGTAACATAGCACTATGGAAAATATTTTAAATGCGGCATTTAAAATCGTAATTTCTCTGTGGTTAGAGCATTTAAAGATATCTCCCTTTTCCAATCATTGGGAAGGGATTTCTGTGTCCATATTTTTTTATCTATTCTGGTTTATTTGTTTCTGGCTACTTTTTTAGCTGCATCTTTAACTTCAAGAATCGTTAGTTCTTGTTTCCTCTCGTCTGTACCCTTCGCCTCATCTCTTTCGTCTTCCAGGTTGTCTTCTTCTTGCTCTATATTAAGTACCCGGTTAACGTATTCCACCCATCTATTCAGTACATTTTTTCTTGTTGTCAATAGGTCGTCATTCTGACTTCTGCATTGTCTTGTTTTGGTTGCATTGAGTTCTTTTCTGTTGATGTTAACTTTCTTAGAAATATAGAAATGCTCTGAAATATTACTCTGTTGACGTTTTCTATATATATTTAATTTTCTTATTTAAGTGGTTTTGTTTTTTTCTTTTGTGTATCTTCTTTTTAATTTCACACATATTCAATTTTCTCCTCCAGATCTTACATGAGCGATCCAATCTCCGATATAGAATGGTTTGAAAGTTGCCATCAGAGTGCAGTATTTAAGAAGCTGTTGTACGCTCTATGCTTTTTCCACGCAACAGTCCAAGAAAGAAGAAAATTTGGTCCGTTGGGCTGGAACATTCCGTACGAATTCAACGAAACTGATCTAAGGATCAGTGTGATGCAATTGCACATGTTTTTACATGAATATGAAGTGAGTATTTAATAAAAAAGATAAACAAAACTAAGATAAAATAAATATTCAGCATATTTTTTTAGTTCGTCAGTACCTTTTCGTCCACATGTCAAACAACAGTGAACAACGGGATTTGCATTTGTATATAATAGTTCGTTAGTTATGTGCAATTTTGGTCTGTCAGACTCTACCCGACTATTAAAGTAACTTTTGTGAGTTCGACAAGTAAATGCGTTTTCTTATTTTTTGTGAAATATAACGTACATAGAGTAAGTCTTTATTTCCTATGGTTATATATATATATATATATATATATATATATATATATATATATATATATATATATATATATAAATATAGTAATGTTCCAGTCTTTAATTCTTTTTTTTTTGTATTTCATATTTCAGTGATGGATCCTTATCTGAAAGAAATTTAAAGATTACAACAGCTCTATGATGAAGTAGAAGAAGAAAATTTGATTTTGAAAGCGAGCCAAAATCAGACAGGTGTGAAGAAATGACCACAACACAGACACAGAAGAAGAATGGGAGGGCGAATTGGAAAAAGGAAGGATTGGGGGAGAAACCTGCAACTACAAAATATTTTGAAACAAATACGGAAAACCGGCAGCTCTTTTATTATGACAAGAAGTTCTAATTTAAATTCATACTTACCAGGTTCAAATGAAATGCCCATCAAGCAGTAGATCCTTTAGAGTCTTTTTGGAAAAATGGAAATGTTTTATTGATGATAATATTCTCGAAACCATTGTAAAGAACACAAACATATTTATTTCTAAACTAAGAAACAATTGTGCAGATCCGAATAAAGCCAGACTTACAGATACTGTGGAAATAAAGGCTTTACTTGGCCTATTATGCCTAGCTGGGGTTTTCAAAGCAAGACGCTTGGAGAAAGAAAAAGATCCATAGACACGCACCAATAAGAAACGTTTTTGATCAATTTAATTAGAAATGCAAACTTACTTACGTTTCTGGATCTCACTTAACATAAGACGAGATGGTATTTGCATTCCGTGGAAGTTGCGGATTCCGCATATACATCCCTACTAAGGGATGTACATGCAAATATGGCATATATAAAAAAATACAAATATGGCATAAAAGTATTTTCCTTAGTGGGCGCCAAATGTTTTTACATGGTAAATATGGAACTATACGTTAGAGCTCAGCTTCCAGGGCCATTTCGCGTTAGTACTAAAACCTCCCATTTAGTGGAAAGAATACATGAGCCTGTGTTTGGATCATCTAGAAATATAACAATGAATAATTGGTTTACAAGTTACGAAATTATAAAAGGCATGCTAGATCAGCACAAAATTGCAATAAACTGTTGGAATAATTCGAAAAACAAGGGAGATTCCAAAGGAAGTTCTTGATCCCAGCAGATCAGAGTAATCGTCTATGTTTGAATTTTACAAATCCATTACCTTGGTGTCTTATATCCTAAAGAAAAAAGTCGTGACGCTGTTATCATCTTTTCACTATGATGACTCGATTCATGAAGATTCTGGAGATGCCTGTAAGCCCAATATTATTACTTTTTATAACATTACAAAATTGAGCGTTGACTTAGTCAATCAGAAATGTGAGGCTAGAACGTAGGCAGAAACACCCAAAGATGACCAATGGTCATTTTATATGATTTACTCAACATTGCAGGCATAAACTCTGATGTCATACATAAATTTAATGCAAATGAAAATGACTTTATTTCTGAACGAAGATTGTTTCTGAAATCAATTGGCTTAGTCTTAACAAGAGAGAACATGCTAACCAAAGCAAGAGACCCTCATTTACAAAAGGATATCAGAAATATTGTCCAAAAATTAAGCGGAGTACATGCAGATCCAGCGACCAGCTCCTTCGCGTTCAAAAACACGAGGTAGTTGCGCCTATTGTATAAATCGTGAAATACGATATTTTTGTGTCAAATGCCAAAAAAATGGCTATACTTAGAGCATGTTAAGCCGATTTGCGAAGACTGCAATGAAAATTGAAATTAGGATTAGAATTTTGTTTATTAAATGTAAAAGGGAAGTACGTTTTTGTTAACTTTTTTTGCATTTTCTTAAAGATGTTGTTTATTTTATTATTGGGTTTAAAATGGTTCAGATATATTAAAAATGAAATAAAATAAGATTGTATATCTATCAAATAGTTTTATTTTAATCTTTTCTAATGTGTTGTGTAAAATAAGAACTGGGACTCACAGACCCGACCCGACTGTTCATGTAATTTGCATGTTCCCGATTACTCAAGAATTAATACAGATAGTGACATTTTTTGTAATAAATTACGTGCTTGTTGGGAGTACGTATAGCCTCGCGAATAAAATTCTCAGTAAAGTTCAACTATACGTTTTTAACAACCAGAACTCAGCTTTAAACAATGTGCGGTTGTTGATCTTGTCATGAGCACGTCGATGCACATCGCCCCGTTTTTCTACCTTCTATTCAATTTATGATTTTTATGACTTGGAAAAGCACATATCGATAAAGTGTATAAAAAACATGCATTTTCCAAGTCATGCGTAGTCAAGCCTAGCCTTACTCCGACTCCCATGTAGGATCTCCTCCTACTCCATGGCAGCCTCCTTCACGGAGCTCCTCTCCCTGCTTGTCCTTAGACTCTTTTGCTAAGACTTTTTCATCGCCAAACTGAGTTTTATTTGTGAGAAATTAACGAACCCTCCAATTGACTGGCCGAAGCCCTCTGTAGAGCACCTAGGAAGCCGATATGAAGTTGTTTCTTTATGAAGGCCTCAACCTCCTTATGATGACAATTTATACTAAAAGTTTACTTAGAGTGATTTGTCATATTTTTTGTGCTGTAAATCACTTTTAAGCTACACCTAAGCGGGCTAAATTCTCACTAGACGACTATTTCGTTCGCAAACACAAAAGATACTTTATAAACCTGTTTTTTTGGTTAAGGTTATGTGCAAGTCGAATTATTGCATAATTGTGTTCAAATTTTTTGTGTGTTTAATGTTTATTAATTGCAGATGGTTATATTTTGATTACAGAGGCAATTTGTCACACCAAAGTCAAAATTTGTGAAATTTATATAGAATCCTTTAGTAAGCCGGGCGTTTCCATGTATATAAATACTTAAGATACCACAAGAAAATAGCTTCAAAACACTATTAACAATATTTAATGTTCATTTTTTTAATTTTACAAACCCTCCTAATTATTTTTCCTGAATGATACTTAAAATTAATGACAGCATATAACAGTGACGTTGAGTAATCATTACCAACTACGATGTTTCCAAAACGAGGGTACTGAGCGTTTAAGGCCAGTATCATTTGAATAATAGACCATTGGAGCGTTCGAGGCTGAGGATGAGGCCGACAAGGTGCGCTCAATTTTAGGAGATAAATGCTAAATGATATCGTTATTGCTATTGTGCCCAAAGAGCTTTAATTATGGCCAAGGGTAGCGACAGAAAATGAACATTTGAAATTGGAATTTCACACCGACGGAGACAATAATGAGGTCGATCAGAATTGTTTTGCGTCACATATAAACATTGCTTCTAAACATTTTCAAAACAGAAACATATTTTACTATATCAATATTATTTTATTTTGTCTTTTCTCTCGTTCAAATATTTTAAAAATTACCAAAATATGTAATCTACTCTACATATAATAATATATACATTGAGGTCTCTTTTTATGCGATTTTAAAGTTGTGCGGTGTGTATTTTATCCAAAAATGTATGCAAAATTTCTATTATTAACTATTATAATTAAATAAAATTCACATCTAGATGTCAGTAAAGTAAGCTTTTGCAATTCGGGAAATAAAATGCACTTCATAATAACATATTATAGAAGAAAGTGCTACAGCAGATGCAGCAGCAGTAAAAATATTTCCACTTGTGTTAAGGAAACTCAAAATTTACTGGTGCCAGTACCAGGAGATGGTACACCACTCGTTTTTTTTTTCAAATGATCTTTAACGACACATTCCTGTAAGCTGTGGTAGATAATACAAATTCTTATGAAGTTGAGGTATGTTTACGTCCAGAAACAACTGCCAATTACAGCTTGGAACTACTACTTTCTAGAACATCTTTACAGTTACAACTTTACAAATTTGTTTTGCATACTTAATGCGTTATTTTTACTATAATTTTCAGGATATACAGTACGATGCTCTACTCTACCTAACAGGGGAGTGTAACTATGGTGGAAGGGTAACCGATGACTGGGATAGAAGAACTTTAAGCACCATACTTCAAAAGTTTTACTCCAAGGAAGTTGTCCAGAATGAAAATTTTCCTTTAGACCCTTCAGGTAAACGTTTTATTTATTAACAACAATTTTTAGAAAAATAATTTTTTTTTGAACCTATTCTCTATCCTTCCATTGTTGGATATAGGTCTCCCCCAGTTCTCTCCATCTTTCCATATCTTGAGCTGTTCTCTGCCATGTGGGACCTCCTCGTTTCCTGATGTCATCTTTCCACCTCATCTGTGGTCTGCCTCTTGATCTCTTTGCATTGTATGGACGCCACTTTCCGATGGCATTGTTCCATCCTCCGTCTTGGAGACATTCATTGTGTCCAGCCCATTTCCATTTCAGTTTTGCTGCTTGTTCTATCGCGTCTACTGTCTTTGTTCTGGTTCTGATCCACTGGTTACGTTTTCTATCTCTAAGTGATATACTTGTCTCTCCATCGCTCTTTGTGCCTTCCTTATCCTATCCAAATTGGCCTGTGTAAATGTCCATGTCTGTGCTCCGTAGGTGAGCACCGGTATTATGCAGGAGTTATATAACTTGCTTCGTAAGTATAGAGGAATTGTTTGATTGTTTAGAACGTAAGAAAGTTTGCCGAACGCTGCCCATCCCATTCTTACTCGTCTCGATATTTCGGCTGTTTGATTTTCTCTGTTAGCTCTGATTGCTTGTCCTAGACAGATATACTCATTTACCTGTTCTATTTGTTCTGTTTTTAATTTTATTGCTTCTTAGTCTTCCGTGTTTGTCATTACTTTTGTTTTGTTGAAGTTAATTTTTAGGCCTTTTTGCAGTGATTTTTCATGAAGTTCATTCAGCATTAATTCCAGTTCTTGTCGTTCCGAGGAGATCAGGAGTATATCATCCGCATATCTAAGGTGATTTAGGTATTTTCCGTCAATACATATTCCTCTGTTTTCCCAATCTGTTGATTTTATTATGTCTTCGAGGGTCAAGGTAAACAGTTTAGGTGAAATTATATCGCCTTGTCGGACTCCTCGTTTAACTTTTATATTATCCGTAGAAAAAAAAATAATATTATGTCGGTAGAAAAATAATTATGTTATTGTAATAATAAAAGTATTGTACTGTACTGTAAGTATTGTACTCTCTAACAATTTTTATACCGGAAAGCATTGTGTTTGTTAAACACTTAAATACAGGATATAAAACAGCAACAACAATTTTGTTATGATTTAAAGACAGAAATATCCTGACTTTTCTATAACATGGAGAAATTTTATGAACTGGTATTTTAATAGAAAAATACAGACTATAAAACAAAGATTATGAGAAGTATCCTTAGTGTACGTTTTTAATGAGGCGCTGGATAGGGGCGTTTATAACGAGAAACTTGGTCCATTATTGAATCATACCTTAATGCCCGACCAACATGGTTTTATTCCAGGACGTTCTACTACTACCAATCTTTTAGTCTTACAAGAATTTTTGTTGGATTCTCTTGAAGGTTATGACCAGGTTGATGTAATTTACACCTACTTTTCGACGGCATTCGATAGAGTTAATCATACTCTCCTAATCTCTAAACTTTATAATGCTGGTTTACATGGAAGATTATTAGGCTGGATGGAGGAATATCTCACAGATAGAACTCGTTGTAAAAATTAACCAATTTTTGTCATTTACTATCAATGTAACCTCTAGTGTTCTACAGGGTGGACGTTTATCTCCTCTGCTTTTTAATTGTTTTGTCAATGATATTTTGTTTTTTGTTTTTATTGTTTTTATCATAATAATATACTTTTTTAATGCTGATGATCTAAATGTAAGGTAATGCGATTTTTTAGAAACAAACCTCCGATTTCATTTAAATACCAAATTGGACCGAATATTTTAGAGGTAATCAAAACATTTAAGGATCTTATGGTAAATTTTGACCCTACAGTAAGATTCATAGACCACTTTTCTTACGTTTCTAATAGACCCATGAAACTTTTAGATTTCATGAAACGTGTTCTCTCTGAATTTGATAATATTTATTGTCTCAAAAATATTTAATATTTGGTCTCCTCATTATACAAAGATCTATTAGAAAGAGTACATGAAAAAGTCTTAAGATTTATTGCTTTTAAATTGAGAATACCTGTAAATGAAATTGAATACATTGTCTTGCAATCTTTCCTTTACCTACTCTTGAAGAAAGGCAAATATTGCTAGATGTAGCATTTATATATAAATTAATACGAGGAGGAGACGTTGATGCTAGTGCTCTTTTGGAAAAGGTTTACTTCCGTACTCCCTGTAGAGACACCAGATCCCAAGACTTATTTTATTGAGAATTTCATAATCGAACTTAAACTGTAAATAAACCTTTACAGAGAATGTGTAGAAATGCAAATAAATTTAATAGTAATGATTTTTTTTCATTTATCACTAAGTACTTTTAAGAATAAGATCGAAAATACATTTGTATGTAATCACATTGTGATTTAATAGTTTAAGCTAACTTTAAGTTAATTTGTAAAAAAATAGCAAGTCCGTAAATAAACATTACATTACATTCTCTATCCTAAATTTCATTACTAGGGAATATTCCCAATTTTTGATGACGTTCGTACCAAGGTAGGTGTATGCTTTTATTCTTTCTATTGGTTGACCATTCATACTGACTTTTTAATTTGCTATGCCTTTTTAGACATCATCATAGATTTTTTTTTTCTTAATGTTCAGTGAAAATCCACATCTCTGACTCACTCTGTGATTATAATTATTGACTCCTGGAGGGCATAACTGTCAAGCGAATACCACCGTGTCATCCGCATATCCTATGTTATTGATACATTATCCGTTAATTCGAATTCTGGCTTCAACATCCTCTACTAGTTCTTGAAAGATTTCCTCAGAGTATATGTTAAACAGCAAGGGTGATAGTATACATCCCTGTCAAACCCCACGTTTAATTGTGATATCATCGGATTCTCCTGCCTCTGTACAGACCGACAATGTTTGGTTCCAGTAAAGGTTGCTGCTTAGATCGCAGGTGTTTATTCCAATATCTCCATCAGCTTGTCGTATTTTAGTATATCGAACGTTTAATTTGCGAAGATTGTCAGGCAACAAACTTTTATACCAGTCAAAAATATTGCCGGCAAAATTTCCTCTCTTATGATATTATCTACGAAAAAACTTGCTTTTCTCTCCTCATTTTTATTTTGTACATAAAAAGGTTGTCGCTACAACCCAACGTTTTAATAAAAATTAATATTGTGTTTTTATAACTCCTCAGGTAAATACTACGTACCCGAGAAATCAGAATACGACGATTTTCTTAACTACACCCGAAACCTCCCACTCATCACACATCCCGAAGTGTTTGGTATGCACGAAAACGCCGACATCATGAAAGACCAACACGAAACTGATTTGCTCTTTAACAACACACTCCTTACTCAGGTAAGCAAATATTTGGATAGCCCGTCTCTGTTTTCTTGTTGGACCTTACACTTTCTGTTCCAAATAGTGGCGGCGCAATCACAACAGATAGCACTAAAGACTAATTTTGTGTAAAATTTGCCAATATAGCAAGATGACAGTAAAAAAACATGTATTATAAAGAAAATCTCCATTTACTATGTTCCGAAAGATTTCCGCAGGTAGTAAAATTAAATCTTGAGCTAAGCAAAATTAATATTAAACGCAACATCCACTCTGATGTCTTTTTTAGGGCTTCCGAGGTCTCAGTCTCCCGAGCCTAAAGACACTAATGACGAACCAATGCATTACTTCAACGTTATCATAAAGAAAATCTAATCCCAAGGTTTTCATCACTCTGTTTATCGAAAATCCACCTTCACAAATTAATTCAGTCATTGATACCCTTTTTTTCAGATCAATACGCCTTTGTGATTATACAGGTAGATACGCTGAGTTCTCTAGTTCAAAATAAGCCCATCCAAAACGGTCACCGCGAAAATCACATCAATAGGAGTATCCACAGACATCATTTTTCCACTCATTCTCAACCCAAACCCAAAGACTCGGTCCCTTATGACCCTAAAGTTGTTCTTTCTTACAATAAAGTTATTACTGACAAAATGGGCAAAAGCAAGAGGAAAAGTACAATATTTACTCCCAAAAAAACTTCCATCTCTTGTTTGATTAATCAAAGACAACATTTCAAATGAACAACACGGAGTTTATAAAGTTCCTTGTGTAGACTGCCCCCAATTTTATATAGGCCAAACAAATTGTAAAATCCAAATTAGGATTTATGAACATTTATGCAAATTATAAATTTCTGTTCACAATTTAGATCTAATTTCAGCTCTAGGTCAACACCATCTTCATACAAGTCATAAAATTGGTTTTAAAAACTCCGAAACCTCCACCCGTTTCTATAAACCAAAAATTATCAAAGAAGTCATAGAAATTTAAAAAAGGCCAAATTGTTTGAATAACAGAGATGACGCCATACGGCCACATTCTAAATGGAGACCTATCATAAAGAAAATATCATCCGCTCCACCCGCCAACCAAAATGCTACTGACAGTATGTCTCCTCCCTAAATGAACCGTCCTCTGTTCCCAGTAGCAGTAATGCATTGATTCGTGATCAGTGTAGCAGTGTCGTGGGACTCGGAAGACTAAGACCTCGGAAGCCCTGAAGAAGACGTCAAAGAGGATGTCAAAAGCTCGTCGCAATGATAATCGACACGGTTCAACCAAGAAGACTGTTGAATTTAATGTTAATTCTTGTAATAGTGTAATTGTAATAGAGGTTTTAGCTTAGATTTTATCAAAGCACTTTCTTTCACGCGTGAGATTTTTATTATGCAGATGTGATTCGTAAATCTGTGTTTCAAGCAATGTTGGTTTAGATTTGTTTTTTAAATGTGACATTTATCACATTGGTCCTTTTTGGTGACATTTATCATATTGCCTTTCAGTATTAGCTATAGATGATTATACCTGTTCGTCAAACCATTTCTTGTATAAATCATATAAGCGGTAGAAATTCAAACCGCTCTTCAAATGAAGATTATCAGTTCTACTTCGTGTATAATGAGATTTTATGGGTTGAATGGACTTTATGTGATCACAAACACTTTTGACAACGTTTTCGGTTATCGCCTTATGATGATTGTGATAGCATCTTTGATCTATTTATATCAAACCGTATATATAGTAAACTCTAGTTTTTTCAAAGCAGTGTAGAAAAACTGTACACTTATAGAGAAAGTATTTATAAACGTCTTTTTACAGACAGATATAAATTCGTCCTGATGACCTTCCTTCACTTCTAGTCTATAAATAAGAATAAAATTGCGCCTTGATACTGTATCCTCATTGCTTCTCCCTCTTACCTAAATTCCAAAATTAATTGCTTCTTCCTCTTACCTAAATTCTATAATTAATTGAAAATTTTTGAAGAACATTTTTATGTACAATTTTCTGGACATATCGGTTTTATTGATTTCGCAAACTGGTTGTACTTTCTTGTATTTTTAATTCAAGATGTCTGATGTTACCAACATCTTTTCAAGAAAGCTTTTTTCGTTTTCTAGAACATTTCGGAGTTGATTCGGCAAATGAAGAAATCGGGGTGTTAGCTTGGGGTTTTGATAGTAGTTCAGTAGTGAATGAAATGGCTGACTGCGGTTTTTGTATAGCATTTTCATACAAAAGACAAAAGTAGTTATCACAATCGTAATCTAAATGGTTTTTAGCACACTTTGGGGATGGAATGTGTGTGTTATCTTCTTCTGAAAACATAATTCAATGTTAAATTACCATTATGTACCTATTAATAATATTAAAGTGAAGTGAGGTAAATGTTTTTATTAGTTCAACTTTTATTTAATATAACACTGTAAAGAAACGTTTCAAAAATTTCTCAAAAAAATCATTTTCTTTTTGAACGGTTTTGTGTTCAATGTGTAGAAAAAAATTTAATAATGTTAGTATTGGTAATGTTGCATGATGTTTTTTAAAATCATATCAATATATCACATTTACCCCAGGGACCGGGGTAAATGTGTAGATAGTTTACATTTTTGTAGTAAGTATTATATTTGATAGTCTGGGGTTTATTGTATAAAAATGTAATTCAAACTCTCTACTTGAGTTTTTTAGAATTTATTTTGTTGAAAAAAACTTTTCGAAAACAATGTCAGAACAAAAGAAAACAAATATATAATAAAATTAAACAAACACTCCAAGTTTTCTTTCACTTTATGTTGAATATTAAAGCCTTTAAAGGTAACTGGAAATTCGTACATTCCACGTCTATCGACGATAGGATCTGGTAGTACTTTTATAATATCCTGTTGTAGTACAGTATCAATGTCAGGATTTATAGGCCATACAAATTTGTTTCCTTGAGGTCATGGAAATTTAACTATCCACTTATCATTCATATTTTTTGATACAATTCCCACATAATGCTTGTTTATCTTTTTTGGGTAATATTTTGCCAATACCCAACATCCGACATATACATTCACACTTTTTGTTAAATTTAAATTCTCTTTGTCTTCCTCGTCATCATTTGCAGCTATTTCTACTTCCGGCTCTGATTCCAAAACTGTATCCAGAAACCCGTCGGTGATATTAGAATCCATGAATATTGGGGACATTGATTCATCGTCTTTACTGCTGCTAAATATTAATGACTCTCGTTTATTTCTTGTTCAGGGCTTTGCCTTAGTTATCTTATGAATTTTAGTACAATTTCCTTTTTTTGAGATTTCTGTTTTAAAACATCAATAGATTGTTGTGATGTCAATACTTCAGATCCAGCATAACCGTTTCTTATTTTTGGTTGGTGCGTTTGGAAGTTGTTTTACTGTTAATAACAATAAATCTTTAAATATTACTTTCTTATTTTTAGTTAAACTTGTACATGGAATTGACTCAAGTTCGTCGACTCTGGCAGAGATAATTTTTACTGTGTTGGAAGTGGTAGTTTCGATTAGAGCATCAGGCGCAGGTTCTTTGTTTTGATAAAATACTTCTTGAGTTACTTTAGTTGGTACCAATACTTCATTACTCTTTTCGTGTGTAGATAATCTGAAATTTTTTATCATCTCTCACTTATTAAGTAATCAAGGTGGAAATAAAGTTTCAGGGATGACGTGACGATTAAAAGGAATAATTTTGCCTTTTTTAGAACCGTTGATAATTACTTCGGAGTTCACCTGTTTAAAAGTTGTACACAAAAATTGGGAAAATATTTGTTTTGGTAATTTTTGGCCTACATGCTGCCGCTGCCAGGCAACAAGTTTTTCATGCTATTTACTTTAAAGGATTTAAAAACAGCCAGGTCTCGTGGCTGTAAAAGGTGGCTGGAATGGGGTGGCAGTTTTAGAATTATAATATGTTCTCGCATAGCGGCTTCTAACATCTCGATATTCATATGAGTGGAATGTCCATAATAAATAATTAATATTGGTCTTTTAGGTGGAAGTGATAAAATTATAGTGTTTATGAAGTAATTTTTGAAAACAGCTTCTTCCGCCCAACCTTTTTAATTGAGATTCTCTCAGGTTTGTTGTGAAGACCATATTTGTCCATTATTGATTTTAATAAATAATAAAATTGGTATATTATAAAAGGATTAAGAGTCTTTTTTCGAGAGTGTTTCTTATTTTGTGGAACTTTAATAATTAATCTATGCCTCTGTTTAAACCCCAAAAACCAATCTTCGCCTGGAACTCCATCAATGAAATTAGTTTCAATATGGTTAGTCTTTACAAAGTTTCCTACAATTTCTAATACTTATTTCCTTGATAGGCCGTTTCCCCATTTCTCGATCGTTTTTAGACCATTGGCTATTCTAACTTGGCGTCAGCAGTAGAAATTGACGTTGGACGTCCTTTAGTTGCATTTACTGCTCCCCGTTTACCTTTTACACGGAAATGTAGGGTCACATATGGTATTTTGTATAATTTTGCGGCCTTATAAATTGATGTTTGATCTACTAAAACATAAGACACTGCTGCGTTGAGATCAGCTGCCAAATATTTTTCTTCATTTGAAGTTTTTCTTTTGTAGCTGCGAACCATTGTATCTATAACAAAAAATAAGCTTTGCAAAACTTGCCCTACCACTGTTTAAATTTTAAATTCAAGAAGTTATATAAACAGGGTAACTGTGATATACTAATGATACATTTGCCCCAATCTGTATTAATACATTTACCCCAACAACAACATTCCAAGGGGCAAATGTATTATAACAAAAATTTGAGGTTAATGTTAAGTTTTTATTTAAAGAACCTACACCATAATGTTCTCTCAAACTAGAATAAACTGTTATGCCAATTAAAATTATAATAATAGTCTTACTTACCGAAAGAATAATACAATACTTCAGAAACGGGGTAAATGTATAATTAATACCATATTTTAGGTTCCGTCTAATAGGTGGCATACTCGTAATTATTTAAATAGCCATTTTTAAATGCACTATTACAATTGCCCCATTATCACATATACCCCACTTCACCTAATTATTATTTTTTATTTATAAGTATTTACCAGAAAACGGGGAAGAAGGAACGTTCTTGAAATCTTCGTCAACTGTATCTGACAAAAAATCTATAATTTGTTCTATTGCACTCTTGTCTACATCCGATAGCAGAGGTGATTCTGGAAAAAGAAAATGAAATTAGTTAAATCTAAGGATTTTTTGACACGTATATTGTTGTAACTTAAGTAATCAATGGCAAGTAGTAGATACGATAAAAAACAATATGAAACTCCAACATAAAACATCGTATCACATACCTACATACGACACAATTTTTATTTATTTTACGGTGTAAAATATCTTATTTATACACGTTATTTTTTTTTGATAGCGCAAACAACGTAAGATATAGTAAATTACGATATTTTTCGTCGGTAAAGATAAAAATTATTACGTTTATATTGAAATACTCATTTTACTACAAAATATCAATACATAAGGTGAAATTTTGGCATAAATTGGTAACACTTATTTGACAGTTGCGGTGTTGACACTTTTTGTACTTTATGATTTTGAATTTTAAAGTAAATACCTCTTGTTTTATATTTTTACCTGTTTAATAAAATCTGTTCTTTTTAGAACAAAATTAATATGTATAATAAGAATGTAAATAGTCGTTGTAAAGAGATGGTGATACTTTTGCAACAATTATGCGATCTATTTGATTTAAAATGGAGTCAGGATTTTTTTATACTTTAGCAACTATGTCAACTTCGATCTCTGACGTAGATAATGACGTGCATCGGTATGTAAATTAGATGAAGTATATCTATATACACCTGTGAAAATATAAATCTATTTTAGATATTTAGCGACGCCACTATAAACCTCCTCTACTTGAAAACTCATCATATGCTTTACACCACTCTCCTGTTGCAATAAGATACAAAGTTTCTAACTGTGTGTTTAAGATTTTTATTAACTGTTGGCCGTTTTTTCTTATTTGTTATGCTGCTGGTGATGCTACCTGCAGGATAGAACGGTAAGGAAGTTTGTTTGATACAAAGGAAAAGTTTTTTGGAGGGTAACACTTGGTTAACGGTTTATAAAGTGCAGTAAATGGGGAAAAGTATCAATTGTATTTCGTTTGTGTACTTTATGTCGTCTTTTAATTTTCATGCACATAAAACCAGGATATCTATGAGTTGGATGTAAGTAGGCTTTTGTTGATTTTTCTCATTTACTAATAATAGTTTTAAACGTTTAAAAGCTGCTTAAAAAAGAAAGGGTAAGTTACTTCAGTACATACACTATTTCTATTTCTATACTCATATCTATTAAGAATGATCATATCATTTGATCTTGTATACTTCTTGCTTCCACAGGGATAAATTAGTAAAAATATAAAATATTAAAAGATATGAATGGTCCTCCTTTGTGAATTATTTTATTGCTTTCATTATTTAGGACGCCATGTCGACGAGCGGTTCAGCAAAATCCCCAGACGAAGTCATAATGGAAGTATCTTCAGATATCTTGGCTAGACTTCCGGAAAACTTCGACAGGGACGCCGCTATGGAGAAGTACCCGACGTCGTACTCGCAGAGTATGAATACGGTTTTGGTACAGGAGATGACGCGATTTAATCGTCTTCTTAGTAAAATCAGGGATAGTTTGAAGAATGTACAGAAAGCTACGAAAGGTAAGAGGATAACTAGGAATTTTTGTACAGTTTATTTTTTCTGGTTACGATTTAAATTTATAAAAGTCTCATATCACAAGAACGGTTATACTCGATTTCAAAATTATAAATCAAATATTTTGAAAAAAAATATAGGTATAGGGATGGAAATTTCAGAAATGTCAGAAAATGGTACTTTTCTTTTGTAGTTCACCCTGTTGTAGTTTACCCTGGCGACTACAGTTAAGGAGAAATTGGTGACCTGGAAAATGTACATCGAAGAACTTCTGTGGGAATACCGAGGTAACCTTCCAGAAATAAAATGCATGACAGGGCCTTCTATACTAGAAAGCGAGGTGAAAGCAGCTTTAAAACAGTCTTAGAATGGTAAGGCCACAGGTTGAACTTATTAAGGTGATAAGTGAAGTGAGCACAAAGGAGTTAACTGAACTGTTTAACGCCATATACGATTCAGGTAATATCCCAGAGGAGTAGCTATTGTCGACATTCGTACCACTACTAAAAAAACGATAGTAACGAGCGAAAACGTGTGAAGATTTCCGAACTATCAGCTTTATGAGTCATGCACTTAAGATTTTTCATAAAATCATACATGCCAGAATTTACAAGAAATACGAAGAAAATGTTAGTAAAATGCAATTTGGATTCCGCAATTCCGGGGGTGTAACGATATATTTTGCTTACCTCAGGGTAAGAACATGGGGGAGAAGATTGGGCAAACAAAATAATCGGAACTAGTGCGTACGGCACACAGAGGGTTGTTGGAGAGCTGGGTCGTGGATAAGTTGAAATAAATTTGGGTCGGATTGGGGTATCTACTAAATGAAAACAAAGGGATACTTACATAAATCTCCTGGGTCAAAAACGAACAAAATATGGCAGACAAATTTACCTCTAGCTATTTTCATTTTGAACGCCGCTTTGAAGAAAACTTCCTGCTGGAAAAAGAAAAATTCTTCCCTACAATCAAAATACATACAAGGTTTAGGAGACTTTTCTAAATTAAAACACAAAATAGATCAGAGAAACAAATCAAACGTTTATTTTTGTCTCAAACAGACAGTTATCAAAAATACAGATTACACAAGAAAGATACTATATTTATAACATAATACAAATTAATAAAAACTAACGTGTTATTTGTTTACAAAAGAGATTGCTACAAAAATTTTTAAAATGGTTCCTAGGTTATAATATGGCCAAATTAGATTATCAAAAATTAAGGATCCTTGTTAATGGATCACATTACCTACCTACATAACATCATAAAATTTAACCTTATATATGAAATATCCTTTCTACATAATAATCAAATTCAAATTGTCACAACAAAAAAAAACAAATTAAAGCTAGCTGTCAAATGTCACATTTAATTTTGATGACAAAGAACAAACAGATTAACAGCATCACCATACATATTACAATTTTTAATTTGTTATGAAAGCAATTATTACTTCAGCCAAAAAATGTCTGTCTTTACTTTAAAAAATTAATATATTGAATTGTTACCTTAAAATTCACATATTTCGCCACTTAACTTAAAAAAAACGTGCTACATCTCTGGGGAAGCTACTTGTACAAATTCTCTAACTGGAACACAGGAAACCATTTCTATACTCAGGAACGAGGTTGGGAGAAACAGTCGACAAACGAAGCTGGTGGCACACCCTATGTACTGCTTTAAAATTTTACCATGTTTTGATATACTGCACAAATCCTTTTAGTGGTTTCTCTATGTTAATCCGTCATATTTACGGAGAGTCCACTTTTTACAGGTCTGATTAATTAACCCATTGCACAAAATTACCGGCTATTTATTAAAAATGTCCCCGTCCTTTCAACTCGAGCTGCCTTATATCACCTGCATGCTTCGTTTTTTTTAACCTCTAACCTTCGTTCGATTTCAAACCAAACGCAAAATCTTCCCTTCCTGACCTAAATCTAATATCGGTGTGGGCGACCCTCTTCTTACGTCCATAACATAAATTTCTTGTTTTTAAAACAGGAATTAACTATGTTACAAAGCGACTTTCAAATAAACTACTTTTAAATTGGGTAAAAATACCACGTATTTTTTTACCTGACAATGTAACAGAGACCTGGAGATTTGAATGTAAACACAGACAAAAACATCTATATTTACTTTTAAATCGGTAGAAATACACTTATTATATTGATTATTCTAAGCGGAATAAATTTCTACCTGACAATGTAACAGAAACAAAACATCTATATTTTTGCCTTATCTCGTCAAAAAAACTTGAAATATTCTAGTTCAAAGATCAAAATTTACAACATACATTTAACTTCTCCGAAACAATCAGGGGCGTACTACAAAGATTTTAAACCGAAACTATATTAAATATAAAACGCTACATGGGTACACGTGAAGCACTTTTCACCTTACAAGTCCTACTTCAGAGATGCTGCGATGTCAATTGTGATGTCTATATTTGTTTTATTGACTACGCCAAGGCATTTGACCGTTGTCATCACCAGAAGATGGTCGCCGCCCACAAAGAGTAGGATTAGATGAGAAGGACATTCTGATCATCATGAATTTATAGTTGAACCAGCGTGCTCAAGTCAAGGTCGAAGACCAGCCTACCGACCAAGTGAAGATTTTGCGAGGAGTAAGGCAATGCTGTCTGCTCTGGTTGACTCTTTTTAATATATATTCTAAGGAAATTTTTATTGAAGCACTCACAAACCTAGAGATGGAAATCCTAGTGAAGGATGAATTTATCAATGATGACACTGTGTTACTAGCAACCAGCCTAAATGATCTACAAGCCTTACTAGATCAAGTGAGAACTATGCAAATTGTTGTTAGCCGTGTAAATTTAGATTCCGAGTCACTAATGGCAGGTAGCGAAGAGATCCAGAAAGTCGACAAACTCACTTATCTTGGAACTACCCTCCACTCATAATGGAAATACGCTCAAGAGATTAGATCCAGAATTGAAATGGCACGGTAAACATTTATCGAGTTGAGATCCTTGCTTTGCTTCGGTGCAAACTAACTACATTCTTCGAGTGTTACTATATAGAGTTGAAGCCTGGACACTGAAGCAAGCCACTTAAAAGCGGATGGAAGCCTTTGAGATGTGGATCTACAGAAGGATACTATAAATATCTTATGTAGACCATGTCACCAACGTTGAGGTCCTACAGCACATGACAAAAGAAAAAGAAGTACGTAATTTAGTGAAACAACCTAAGCTTAAGCTTCAACCACTTGAAGCGGAACGAAGAAAAAAAGACCTTGTTCGGGACCGTGACAAATCGAGATATATTACAATTTTTTAGTTATTATATACCTATACAAAGAAAACCCATACGTTTTCTGCAGAGATTTCAGCGTTTTTTTAATTATTAACAATTTAGTAGAAAAAGTGTCATTTTCTTGATTTTTTGCTTACTATTTATCTTTTAAAACAGAAAGAAGCTGTAAAATGGCGATTTTTAAAACTTATAAAATTTATTTGTTGCTTCAAAAACTGCAAAATAAGGCAAAAACGTTATTAGTTTAAAACTATTGCAAAAATCAACCTAGGCATCTATGATTCCGCCCAAAGTTGTGAGTTGTGGTCCTTCAACTGATTTGACAGATGTATTTCAACAATATGGCCGCTATCGACTGTCAAATTTTGGAAGTCTCTTTTGTAAGACTCTGTATATTAAAATTACTCACTTTTACTTTTTTAGGTTTAATTGTTATGTCTGTCGATTTGGAAGAAGTTGTTACCAGCATATTGACAGGAAGGATTCCTCAAATGTGGGCAAATGTGTCGTATCCTTCCATGAAACCCCTGGGAAGTTACGTCGCCGATTTTTTGGCAAGATTACAATTTTTACAGGTAATATTTTTTACGTTACTTTGTACTCTTTGGAAGAAGTTGATGGTCCCAGTTCTGATCACCCTTTAATATCTACTTTTAACAATAAGTGAGTATATTATACTATGAGAAAATATCCCGACCCTAATCAATAACAGAACGAATTGGGCTAGCTTTAGACAGGGTTACAGAATTGACCAAAGTGTCAAAAGTGAGAACTGTGAGAGTAACATACGGACTAGACCTTAATATTAAAAAACTAAATTCATGGTTGTCAGCTGTGCAAATTTAGATCCCGGGGCACTAATAATAGATAGCGAAGAGATCCAGAGAGTCGACAGATTCACTTACTTCGGAACCCTCAACTCACAATGGGACTACGCTCAAGAGATTAAATCCAGAATTGAAATGGCATGGTGTACATTTATCAAGTTGAGATCCTTGCTGTGCTGCAGTGATCCCAGTTTGGAAAATAGGTTGCGGATAGTGGGGTGCTACATTCTTCCAAATCTATTATATCGAGTTGAAGCCTGGACACTGACGCAAGCCACAGAAAAGAGGATTAAAGCCTTCGAAATGTGGATCTACAGAAGGATAATAAAAATATCGTATGTGGACCATGTCACCAACGTTGAGGTTCTACGGCGCATGAGAAAAGAAAAAGAAGGGCTTAATTTAGTTAAGCAACTTAAGCTTGAGTACCTCGGCCACGTAATGCGGAACTTCTTCTTCATGTATCATGTCCTTTCAGAACATTGGTTACCATCACAGCTATCTTAATTTTATTCACTACCACCCTAAATAGCATGCTTGTATTAACACTATAATGATCTCGCAAGTTCTTCAACCATGTGGTTCTTCTTCGTCCTGGACTGCGTTTGCCTGCTATTTTTTCTTGCATGATATTTTGTAGCAATCTATATTTGGGACCTCTCATTACATGTCCGAAATACTCTAGCAGTAGTCTTGCTGAGACGTTATAGTATTGTGGAGTTTCAAAAGGGCCAATAAAATATCAGTTAGGAAGGGGATTTTGTGTTTGGGTCTTCATCTGAATACATTGCCAAGGGATAGTTTTAGGATGCTTTGGTCGTTGTGTTGTGTTGTTTACTCCATGCAAGATTCTCCTTTCCACCGCAAGCAGTCTTTGTGTGTGGTGGTCGGGCACCGTAATATAGATATTAGATCTATTATCGATGTACGGCTTTATGAATGCTTTGTTTGTGTGAATGAGTGATCGTGGGTGTGTTCTTCCGAATTTACAACAAAGAGCATTGAGTAGTCCAAGTCTGTTCCTGGCCTTGTTACAGGCTATGCCCAGATCGGTCCTCCAGTTCAGTGTTTGGGTAAACACTACACCGAGGTACTCGATCCGATCACGGAGCTGTAGTCGGTCTTCCCAAAGTCTAAGATTGTGCCTTGCGGAAATTATGGGTGTGATGTATTGACTGCGATGCGGGGGTTTAAAGAGAATCATTTGAGTTTTATTTGGGTTGGGTGTTACTCTCCCACCACACCTCCTACACCACCTGTCGACCAGGTTAAGGTGATTTTGAGCAAACCCAAGAACTGAGTCAACGTCTCGTGCTGTTATTACGAGAGCTGTATTATATGCGTAGAGCAAAGCGAGAGTTAGGAAAGTCACTACAGTCGAGTGTATATACATTGTATTGTATATACATATAATATGGGAGCCAACGCTAAACGTTTCAGTACTCCTGCTGTAGGAGTAAAAGTATCTGAGAAGTGATCCCGCTCCTTTACCGTTATTAGACGTTGAGAGACATATGAATGGATAAGTCTGACGAACGAGAGTGGCAGGCCGATGTTCCGTTTCTTGACCAGTCCCACATGCCTAACGTGGTCAAAAGCTTTTTAAACAGAAAGATTATTTACTATTTAACTGGGAATAAGCCACAATTAAAGGTTAAAGTAAAATTAATTAATTTATTAAGAAAATAGCTTCAGAACAAATCGAGAAAGATACCTAGTAAAACTTTTCCGTCGTTCAGACGTTGTGAAAGGTGTGTGACGATTTCTGTCAATGCCATTTTGGTAGAGTACCCTTCTCTATAGCCGAATTGGAATGATGGGATGATGTTGTGTTCGGTGGTAAAGTTAACGAGTCACTCATTGAGGATCTTCTCGAAGACCTCCTCCCTGAGAGGATGATTGTATTGGCTACTTTTCACGGAGATGGAAAGTAGCAGAGTTTGAGAGTGGCATTGATTATATTCGTCAGATAAAGAGTGACGCTCGGTGGGAGTTGTTTCACACAGTTCCTGGCAATATTGTCAGGTCCTGGTGCGTTCGATTTGCCAATTTGACAAAAATTATTGAAAGTTTGTTGATCTACGGGTGCCATCATGGGGTGATCATGTGGCGACTGCGGATCGAAGGGGCACCGAGCTGTCGTGTGATGTCTCTCTCGATCCTTTTACGGAAGGCGAGATCAAATCTAGGATCGTTTGGGGAAATTAGGGTATTTTGTAGGTGGGTTTTGAAGGCGTCGGCCTTCTGTCTTAATCTCATATAAACATAACATTCACAGATTTTTAATGTTCTATAAAAATATCATCCAGAAGCATACATAAGAAATATAGCCGAAACTTTACAGAGTAATAATCCCAAACCTCTAAGTATCGACGATCACAATAAATTAATAACAGACTCAGTTAGAAACGCACAACTCAAATTTTGCAAGAAAAATGACAGCAAAAGTGAAAAGATTAGCAAAGATACAAGGGCTCTCATGGAAATACGACGAAACCTAGGCGAGAACGAAAAGGGAAACAAAGAAAAATATAAAAAACTAAATAAAAGAATTTCAGCGGAAATTAGAAAAGATGTAAGAAGATATAATACTAATGTAATTACTCAAACAGTAGAAGAGAACAATAAAATTTTATCGAGGCAATAAAAGCAGGTGGAGAAATTTTATTAAAATCAGTAAGCGAACTGTTTACTAAATGCTTACATGCGGGTACGATTCCAAAAGACTGGAACAATGCAGTAATAGTCTTGTTACACAAAAAAGGCGATATTACTAAATTAGAAAATTATAGACCCATTAGCCTCTTGACACATATGTACAAACTCTTTATGAAAATCTTAACAAAGAGGCTAACACCTAAACTTGATTTCTATCAGCCCAAAGAACAGGCAGGCTTCAGGGCAGGATATGGCACAAATGACCATTTGCATACCATAAAGATCTTAATAGAAAAGTGCATCGAGTACAACATACCACTGGTTCTTGCATTTGTCGATTACGAGAAGGCTTTTGATTCTGTAGAGTTTGAAACAATACTGGAAGCCCTAAATCAAAGCCGAATAGAATACAGGTACACGACACTAATCAAAAACATCTGTCAGAACGCTACATCAAGTATACGACTGCACGAAGACACAGAAAAATTCAGCTTAGGTCGAGGAGTTAGACAAGGAGACAATATTTCACCAAAATTGTTCACGGCAGCTCTAGAGTCAATATTTAAGGGTACTCAATGGCAAGATATGGGCATTAATATAGATGGAGAAAGATTAAATCACCTAAGGTTTGCAGATGATGTTGTATTAATCGCAGATAATTTACAAGATACAGTTTCTATGATGCATTCGCTTAAAAGTCTGTCTGAAAGAGCAGGATTAAAGATAAACTTTGAGAAAACTAAAATTATAACAAATCTCGTAATGAGTGGAAATATAACTATTGACAATAATACCATACAACAAACAGACACTTACAAATATCTGGGACACTAAATCAAAATAAGCAGAGACAATCAAACACATGAAATACAGAGGCGAATAGGTCTAACATGGGCAGCATTTGGCAAATTAAGCCAAATTCTAAAAAGTTCAATTCCCATGTGTCTCAAACGAAAGGTTTATAACCAATGTGTTTTACCTGTATAAACTTATGGAGCAGAGACTTTAACACTAACGCAAAAATCTGCGAATAAACTTAGAGTTACACAACGAGCCATGGAACGTGCAATGCCGAACGTGAGTCTTCGAGACCACATAACAAACCAACAAATCAGGCGAAGATCAGGAGTTCAAGACGTCATCGAAAGAACCACGACGCTTAAGTGGAACTGGGCAGGGCACTTAGTCAGAACACAAGATGGACGGTGGACAAGACGTATTATGGAATGGAGGCCCAGAAATTATAAAAGAAGCCAAGGACGACCACCGACTAGATGGACCGATGACATTAAACGTGTAGCGGGAAACTGGATACAACATGTAGAGAACACTGGAAAGAACTGAGGGAGGCCTATGTCCAGCAGTGGACGCGATTGGCTGATTGATGATGATGATAAAAATATCTAAATATATGTTTTTTTACAGAATAAAAATTTTTAATTTTATTTAGGACTGGTTTGACAATAGAGCACCAACTACCTTCTGGATTTCGGGATTTTTCTTCACCCAAGCTTTCTTAACGGGCGCTCAACAAAACTACGCCAGAAAGTACACAATTCCTATTGATTTGCTGGCTTTTGACTATGAGGTAAGTTTGTATAAGCAGCCGATAACCTTTATAGTGTAATTTTAGTCTACTAACCAGAACAGTACAAAGAAATGTGACTAATCCTATAAAAGAAGTTTTACGAAGTTAATACTAATCACAAACTAAAAACCTGCAAACTTTTATTAAAATAAACTAATTCGACAAGGTATGGTAAGCATGTTAATTTATTTACAGTGTATTTCAAATAAAGTCGATATGATCAATGCTTTTATTGCATATCAAAATTTATATAATATATGTTTTTCGAACGCACTGACAAAGTGAAGAAAAATTAAAATTAATTAGCATATCTGGCTTTTCATGAGCTAATTTCTTTTGTAGGATAAAAAAGAAACAAGGTGTAGTTTTTATGTAAATAGGAGGTGAACAATTTTATTTAAATGAAAATCTTATGTATTCTTCTCTTAATCTAAATGAATATAATATAGAGCAAAGTTCAGAGTTTTGTACAATTTATGTACCTTCAATAAAAACCAATATTTTAACTGTATACAGATCGGGTAAGTGTGACTTTGACTTGGTTTTGGTGATTTTTGAGAATATCCTAACGTTCTTGCTGAATAAAGCAAACAAACTGACCATACTTGGTGATTGTAATATAAATTTAAAAGTTGAATCTGACCCTTTTTTTGATATTCAAAATCTATACATCTTTTGGTCTAAAAGTAACTGTAAACGATTATACTAGAATCACATCTCAGTCCAGTAATTGTATCGACAATATTATGACAAATTTTTCTGAAAATATCTACAGAGTGGGCGTAAACCTTGTTTTTCTGAACATCGCGTTCAAGTTTTATTTATTGACTCTGAGCATAAAGTTGCTGACAGTAATCAAACATATCAATGGTTTATTAGTTTATCTGGTTTCCAGAAGCTTAAACGTGCGCTAGCAAGTACAAAGATGAAGTTTTTCTATGATACTAATAATGGTCCTGATTTTTTGACAGTCTTCCTTACCAAAAATCTTCCGCATTAGAAACCAGCGCTTTGGAGCAAAATGCTGGTGATGAGTTTACTTATCTGCGGTGATGAGTTTACCTTTTTCCAAAGGATGCCGGTGATCAGTTTACTATATCTCGGAGGGACTAATAATTTTATGAGGGGCAATAAAGTGATGAGTTCGTATACGTTCAAATAAATAAACTATCACTAAAAAATATACTATAGATTATTTACATAGTCGTACATTTTCTAGGTGCTGCGAGAACATCATTTTGAGAAGCCTCCTGTAGATGGCGTTTACATTTACGGACTTTTCCTAGATGGCGCTCGTTGGAATGAAGACATAATGGAATTGGATGAGTCTTTTCCGAAAGTTTTATATGATGCAGTTCCTTACGTAAGTTATATAATAGTATGTTGTTCAAAGTAGAAGCCTAAAGGTGTGTGATCATTATAGAGGCGTATACTCTGTTTAACATAACCTCTTCACCAGAATATCATTGAGTTTTTTCTATTATTGAGTCCAGGCGCTTGAAACTTAGCAAATCTTAGTAGTAGATGCTTATAATCTCGACGTTGAATATGTTTTACCCACCTTAACCTATATTTTCTCATTCTGGCATCATATTTTATTATTTTTAGTACCACGTCCAGATCCAAGGGGGGCACGTACAGTTTTATTTAAAAAAAAAGGTACAAGTATTAGAAAGAGAAGTTAACGTCATCTTATTTGTGTAAAACCGGCTGGGATTTTTCTTTTTCTTCTTCAAGTTCCACTCCTATCGGAGATTGGACATCATTCTGGCAATTATAATTTTATTGGTTACTCGCCTGAATAGTTCAGTTGACTGCATCCAAACCATTCACGGAGATTGCGTAGCCACGAGATTTTACGTCTCCCTACGCTTCTTCTACCTTTGATTTTACCCTGCATTATATTCCTTAGTAGTTCGTACTTTTCACCTCTTATGATGTGCCCTAAGTATTCCAGTTTCCTGATTTTTATGGAATTTAAAACTTCGCATTGTATTCCTAGTTGTTCGAGAACTTGTTCGTTTGTTTTGCGATCCATTTATGATATTTTCAAAATACGTCGGTAACACCACATTTCGAATGCTTCTAGGTTTTTAATGTTGGATTTTTTAAGTGTCCAAGCTTCAATTTCATACAAAGGGTAGAGAAAATATAACATCGAAGCATTTTATCCGGAGCGATACATTGATATCGCGATTACAAAAAAGTTTTCTTATTCTATTAAAAGTTGACCGCGCAATTTCAATGCGGCATCTTATTTCTTTTGTCTGATCAGTATCTTCTGTGATCCATGCTCCAAGGTATTTGTACGAAGATATTTGTTCAATTTCTGTATTATCTAGTACTAGTTTAACTTTGATGTTTTGTGCTTTTGTAAATACCATGAACTTGATTTTCTTCAAATTGATTTTTAGTCCATAATCGTTGCAATATATATTTAGTTGTTCAGCAAGGTGTTGCAGTTCTTCTAGTGTTCCTGCCAGAAGAACGGTGTCGTCAGCATATCTTATGTTATTAAGTGGCTCACCGTTTATTATAAGGCCCTCACTGATCTCGGCAAGGGCTAATTCTGAGATGTCTTCACTGTATACATTGAATAACAAGGGTGATAAAATACACTCTTGGCAGACCCCACGGCGAATCTGGATATCCTTGGTCAGTTCGTTTTCAACTTTTACTTTTGCTGTTTGATTTCAATATAGGTTACAGATGATTCTAATGTCTCTACTGTCTATGTTTTTATGTAATAAAATTGCCTGATTTAAAAGCTAAAGGTGGTAAATCTCCCGGCCCTGATGAAGTTCCTATCGAATTACTTAAAATTGTGAATACTGAATCTATTGATCTTCTTTTGGATCTATTCAATACCACATATAGAACAGGTACAATACCTAAAGAATGGCTCCAATCAACGTTCATACTGCTTCTTAAAGAAGCCAATGCAAAGGAGTGCAATGAACGCACCATAGCCTTAATGAGTCATGTCTTGAAATTGTTTTTAAAAGTAATTCACAATAGAATACATAAGAAATTAGATTAAGGCATAAGTAATACACAAATGGGATTTAGGAAAGGAGAAACACGAGATGCACTGTTTGCAGTAAGTGTTCTTTCGCAGAGATGCAAGTATATGCCTGTTTCATTGATTTTGAGAAGGCATTTGACAGAGTGCATCATAATCTGCTTAAAGAAATTTTATTAAATAAAAACATAGACAGTAGAGACATTAGAATCATCTGTAACCTCTATTGGTATCAAACATCAAAAGTGAAAGTTAAAAACGAACTGACCGAGGATATCCAGATTCGCCGTGGGGTCCGCCAAGGGTGTATTTTATCACCCTTGTTATTCAATTTATACAGTGAAGCCATCTCAGAATTAACGCTTGCCGAGATCAGTGAGGGCCTTATAATAAATGGTGAGCCACTTAATAACATAAGATATGCTGACGACACCATCCTTCTGGCAGGAACACTAGAAGAACTGCAACACCTTGCTGAACAACTAAATATATATTGCAACGATTATGGAATAAAAATCAATTTGAAGAAAACCAAGCACAAAACATACAAGTTAAGCTAGTACCAGATAATACAGGAATTGAACAAATATCTTCGTACAAATACCTTGGAGCATCGATCACAGAAGATACTGATCAGACAAAAGAAATAAGATGCCGCATTGAAATTGCACGGTCAACTTTTAATAGAATGAGAAAACTTTTTGTAATCGCGATATCAATATATCGCTCCGGATAAGAATGCTTCGATGTTATATTTTCTCTACCCTTTTGTATGGAGTTGAAGCTTGGACACTTAAAAAATCTAACGTTAAAAACCTAGAAGCATTCGAAATGTGGTGTTACCGACGTATTTTGAAAATATCATGGATGGATCGCAAAACAAACGAACAAGTTCTCGAACAACTAGGAAAACAATGCCAAGTTTTAAATTCCATAAAAATCAGGACATTTGATTACTTGGGGCACATCATGAGAGGTGAAAAATACCAACTATTAAGGAATATAATGCAGGGTAAAATTAAAGGTAGAAGAAGCGTAGGAAGACGTAAAATCTCGTGGCTACGCAATCTCCGTGAATGGTTTGGATGCAGTACAATTGAACTATTCAGGCGCGTAACCAATAAAATTATAATTGCTAGAATGATTTCCAATCTCTGATAGGAGTGGTACTTGAAGAAGAAGAAGAAACCTCCTTGGTTACTGAGTTCGCAATATGATCTCACTAATACATTACTGGCAATGGTCTGTCTGAATACTTTAACTTTTAATGTATCAGCTATAAGTTCTTCTGTTTCTCTGTCTATTTTGTTACATTTTATTATTTCTTGTTACTGCTACTTTTGCTTGATTTTTAGCCAAATTATAATTCCGAAGATCTATGTCAGACTTTTCAGACAGTCTCTTTATATTGTTTTGTATTTTTATGATTAATTGTTATGATTTTTAATCATTTTAATTAAATAGTATTATTGTTAATTGTAGATAATTTTAAATATATCATCAGCACGGTCGTTAGGGCTGGAACACCGCACACATCCATATTTTTTCAATTTTGCAAAAGCAAGGGCTCGGAATAAAACAATAACGAAAACTTCGACCAATTTTCCAGGAATTTCCAGGAAATGCAACTAAATAAAATACGGAAATACAGCACCGTTGCTAGGGACTGGCATTGGGCATCGGCACATCATAGGAAGCGCAAGTCCTGAACGAATCGGCTGCTTTTAACTTATACTAATGGCAAAATGTGTTGATTTTATATTTGGCCGACAAGCAGAATTTAAAAATAATATATTTACATAAAACTCGATTTTTTTATAAAATTTGTTCTCTTTTATATTTCTAAAATGTTTTTTGTTTTTAAAATACAGTTTTTTGAGAACGATTTCTGAAATAGAAATCAAAACTTCAAAATCTTCTTCTTCAAGTTCCACTCCTATCGGAGATTTAAAATCATTCTGGCAATTATAATTTTATTGGTTACTGCCTGAATAGTTCAATTGAACTGCATCCAAACCACTCACGGAGATTGCGTAGCCACGAGATTTTACGTCTTCCTACGCTTCTTTCTCCTTTGATTTTACCCTGCATTATATTCCTTAGTAGTTCGTACTTTTCACCTCTCATGGTGTGTCCCAAGTATTCCAATTTCCTGATTTTTATGGTATTTAAAACTTCGCATTGATTTCCTAGTTGTTCGAGAACTTTTTCGTTTGTTTTGCGATCCATCCATGATATTTTCAAAATACGTCGGTAACACCACATTTCGAATGCTTCTAGGTTTTTAATGTTGGATTTTTTAAGTGTCCAAGCTTCAACTCCATACAAAAGGGTAGAGAAAATATAACATCGAAGCATTCTTATCCGGAGCGATATATTGATATCGCGATTACAAAAAAGTTTTCTCATTCTATTAAAAGTTGACCGCGCAATTTCAATGCGGCATCTTATTTCTTTTGTCTGATCAGTATCTTCTGTGATCCATGCTCCAAGGTATTTGTACGAAGATATTTGTTCAATTTCTGTATTATCTAGTACTAGCTTAACTTTGATGTTTTGTGCTTTTGTAAATACCATGAACTTGGTTTTCTTCAAATTTATTTTTAGTCCATAATCGTTGCAATATATATTTAGTTGTTCAGCAAGGAGTTGCAGTTCTTCTAGTGTTCCTGCCAGAAGGACGGTATCGTCAGCATATCTTATGTTATTAAGTGGCTCACCGTTTATTATAAGGCCCTCACTGATCTCGGCAAGCGCTAATTCTGAGATGGCTTCACTGTAGAAATTAAATAACAAGGGCGATAAAATACACTCTTGGCGGACCCCACGGCGAATCTGGATATCCTTGGTCAGTTCGTTTTTAACTTTCACTTTTGCTGTTTGATTCCAATTGAGGTTACACATGATTCTAATGTCTCTGCGAAAGAACACTTAATGCAAACAGTGCATTTCATGTTCCCAGTCCTTTCCTAAATCCCATTTGTGTATTACTTATGCCTTCATCTAATTTCTTATGTATTCTATTGTGAATTACTTTTAAAAACAATTTCAAGACATGAGACTCATTAAGGCTATGGTGCGATGTTCATTACACTCCTTTGCATTGGCTTTTTTGGGAAGCAGTATGAATGTTGATTGGAGCCATTCTTTAGGTATTATACCTGTTCTATATATGTATTGAATAGATCCAAAAGAAGATCAATAGATTCAGTATTCATAATTTTAAGTAATTCGATAGGAACTTGATCAGGCCCGGAAGATTTACCACCTTTAGCTTGTTTCATTGCATATTCAATTTCTTCTCGTATAATGTCAGGCCCAGTATCATCCTTAAATTCTTT